TAAATTATTAATCATTTTTCAAAGAGATCGCTTGATCTAGCAAAATGGTCAGGCACGGGTATTTTTTCTTGTTCTAGTTTACGAAAATGGGGGTCAAATATCGTGTCGTACTGTGTAATACAAACATTAAAAGACTTCCATTGATACTATTGCATAGGGTTGCCGTCTGATCTTTTAAAATTCTAGACAATAAAGAAAATATTCAGTTTCGGGTGGACATAATTCAAGTAAATGTGCGGGCAAAAAGAAAATTATGGTAATGGGGAGTGTTGCCACCTAATTCAAAATCAATTATCATTAGTTTATATTTAAAGAAAGCTGTTGATCAACCAGTATTATTACGAAAGAAAACCTCAACGCTAATATTTGTAAGTATAACCAAGTATATAAGTATATATATATGAATATATGTATGTAAGTATGTATAACCAAAGCTCAAAACAGGTGTAAAGCACGTACATATGTATGTATGTATGTATGTAAAATGAAGTAGCGGTATTTCAATAGCATTGTCTACAACATTTAAGTGTGTATTGAATACACTGTTATTTGAATCATAGTGCAGGTTGCCTAATCTTTATGAATCATAAGCGCTGACGAATCAAAGATTGACTGGACAAAAATGCTATGATCAAATAAAATTTTTTGAAGATGAAAGGGCTGCTTAAAGATTATAAAGGCAACAACCGCTGATGACTTACCACTGCAAGGAGATGTACGAGCTGGAGTGCAACTAGAAAAATGCATACATATGTATGTGTATGTATGTATATGTATACATTAATGCACCTGTACATTCATATGAAAATAACCAGAAACGAAAAAAAAAAAAAACATTTCAAAATGCTAAGCGTTGAACAATTGAAATTATTTAGTAAAATTTTTAGGGCTTTTTTGGGTACCAATTTTTTTTTAAGGATTCTCCTTCCGCAATTGGAAAGTTGAAATGGACGCTCCCTTGGCCCGGGAAATTATTGAGTATGTATCAACTGTCTGTGTTGGAGCGGAACAACAACAACAATAACAGTTACGGCAAACAAAAATAACAATAAAAGTGCAGACGCCACAGTGAATAGTACAGAAGGCCGGCAATGGCGTTTGCGCTGATATATGATAATCATGTACAAACATATACATACATATGTATATACTAACATACATATATGTAATCACATTGCATGCATTACATGACAATACTATTTACATAAGCCGAAACCAGAGTTTGGGTATGAACTCCACAAGAATATATGTACATATGTATGCATACATACGTACATGCATATATGTACACGTACGTACATATGTACATATGCACAAGGTATGTGAAGTGGTGTAAGGTCAATGTCGCTTGAAACGGAACGGAACTCTGCACGTCTCTGCCGCAGACGTATGCCCAGTCTGTGTGTGGCGACAGCAACAACAATAAGTGTCAGTAGCCAGCCAATCTACACGTATGTATGCATGTTTGTATGTGCATATGCAGCTATTAAGCACATTACACCCAGTCGGCGCACAGTAACAAGGAAAAGCGACGAGGCGACAAGTCGGCAAATTGGCAAACCAGCCAGCCAGCCAGCCAGCCAGCCAGCCAGCAAGGTATGCGCCCGGCGCTTTTGGCTTTTTGTTCTTGTTGCTATTGCTGTTGTTTGTCAGGCGTTGCAACGTCGGTGCACAGCGATTCACATGCAATCAGCGAGAAGGAATGGGTATCGGATAAAGTATGAAAATGTATTCACATACATACATACATACATACATCAATCTGAAAGTGCACAATGATACAACAATACGTAAGAGTTTCCCTGTAGGAAAATAGGAGCATTCAAGCGTATCATTAAATTAAGGCGGAAGGAAATAAGGAGGGGTTGAAATTCCCTGCCGAGGCGCAACCGCAGTTAGAAACTTTAGCTACATTTTTTACTTAAATAAATTTTCTATAACTTTTTGGATGTTAGTACGACAACAGGATATGAACCCGAGCCTTCCGAATGGCAGTGTGCAATATTAACCACTCGGCTAGCACGGCTACCTGTGGCTTATATAGACCTACATATGAAGACCCGGTCACACGTTGATGTGGTTGCCTGAGTTTAGTTCTATTTATATTATAATAGAATTTGGGTAAACATTAAAACACAAAATTAAGATTCAAATATTTAAAAAATAAAATTAAATTACACAAGGCTGCATTTTGACATCTGTCAAACCCAACTGTCAAGGCAAAAATGTTTTGCTTTTGATAAAAGTCAAACGTTTATGGAAATGGATCGCTTACTACCGCACAACGCACAAAATTGGTGGATCAGACGTGGCCACGTTTCATGCTTTTAAAAGTTTGCTCTATGGTGAACATAATCGTCCAACTACTCCAGGAATCGTTAAGGTTTTAAAGGTATTTGAAGAGACGGAATCGCTTACAAATATTGTAAAGCCTATGCAACCCTAATGTGTCAATATGTCGACGGTCTCAAGAGCTAAGACTTTCTTATAAGTCCAGCTGACACATCAACTATCTTGGCGCCGTCAATTGGCCACCTTTTTTTGTGAGGCTATGCGAAAAATCACCTTTTTACGGATGAACCTTTAACTCTTGAGCACTTGAAAACCAACATTCGTCAACTTATGACTGATATACTGCTCAATATGAGCCAAAAAGTGGCCGAAAATTATCTTAAATGGATCAAAGTTTGCAAAAATTCGCCAAAAGGCCTTTTTAATGATGTAGTGTTGCTTAGTATGAAAGAAAATTCATTATAAGAAAAAAATATTTTAAATGCATTTTAGAAAAGCTTATTTTCGAAACTGCCAAAGAAATTACCCTGTGTAAGTTTACAAAAGTCTCGTTCCTGTTGCAGGTTACTCTGTAAAATTTAAGTTCCGAATTATTTTATGACATTTTCTTAAAAGCGTGATAAAATTGTTTTCTTCATACAGTTTAATATTGTCTTCAAATGACTTAAAAAAGCTGCATTTCAGTGATGCACTCAGAAGCGTTGCAATCCCAACAAGGTATTTATTACAATGACGTTTGGCAGAGCTTATGGAGTAAGCTTGCAGATATACATACGTGTATACAGCTTCGCTCATGCTATCTGTATAGCATACAAACAATGTACATGGGAGTATGTATACGATGTATTTTATGTACATACTATAATATAATGCAATTCCACCTTTGATGGTGTTCTGGCAGACACTTTATATGAATAGTCAAAATACCGACTCCATTGAAAAAGTCAAAAGCGAAGAAGTAGGTGTGGCAGAACAATGAATTTTCCAAGTACTAAACCATAATTTTATTAATTCATATATATATATATATATATATATATATATATATAATAAAAGGAAAATATCATTTTAATATAATAAATGCATATATATATATATATATATATATATATATATATATATATATATAATAAAAGGAAAATATCATTTTAATATAATAAATGCATATATATATACTTATGTATGTATGTATGTGTGTATATGCTTTTAATATGATTTTAATATGCATACACATACGAGTATGTGTGTGTGAACATATGTTGAATTTATAGAAAATGCTTGTGGTCGATAAGTAAAAACAGCAATCCGATTTCGAGGTTCATAAGTACGCGCATATAATATATATATAATTTTATTATATAGGTACATACGTATGCACATATTTATAAGCATTTATATTTATACAAAATTACGCATATTTTGCAGATGAATAACTGGACGGTCACATTTTTTGTTTTTTTATTTCATTTTATCATCGGTCACATTTTTTGTTTGTTTGTTTGTTTAATGAATGAAATGAGTAATCAAAGTAAACAAGCATTAAATATGAGATAATTCCAGACGACCGCAATAATCGAGTCATTAGCAAGCATTGCGTAGTAACATTTGGCAGGCCAGGGCTCGAGTGCTGCTCCCACCAACATCCGAAATTGTAGAGAATACATTTTTCTAATTGCAGTCGGCCCTAAGCAGGTAATGTCAAACCATTCGTATCTATTTATGCCATGAACTACAGGCTGCTCATAAAAAAAACCGGCGGCTTAGAATGAACTTGTAGGTCATTCGACAAATTGGAGGAAGAGATCGGCCAGAAATGGTTTTAGCGGTTACAAAGCGCTTGTTATATAATATCAGTCTTTATGGTGAGTTTAGAAGGAACTTAATAAAATGGAAATATACTAAAAAGGTTGAAAAAAACACTTTATTGCATACATACATACATACATACATATATATATAAAAAATAACATTTGAGCTACTATGAAAGATATGGTATACCATTCTATACTAAGAAATTTGTGTATATACTAGATGATCACGGCACTTTCGGGCAAGTCGGCCTCAAAGAATTTTCTTAAAAGATTGAGGCCTTTGATTTCTAAATGCAAATGAGTTAGGAGCACTCTTTCAGTCTTTCAGGTTATTCACAGGAAATACCTAAAAATTATGCTTTAACATACGTCTTCAAGTGAATAATTTTGTTTACGTGTAGTTTCAAAAAATCCTCCAATCAAAGGATTGGAATTATGGCTGGTATATTGTCTTAGTGCCATACTAATTGAGGACCTCTTTTTTCGCACACAATCAAGGCCAGAAATATTTAGAATGAAACGGTAGGGAGCGGTATTAGTATGTGTATATATGTATGTATATAAGTAAACCAATAATTTAAATATGGTATGTTATATTGGTTGTGGTTCAATAGACTTCGTAAACAACTAGCCACGTAGTCACAACAGATAGCGAGGAAAAAATTTAAACAAATTCTGTTATTCACATTATTTTGATTATCGGAAGCTTTGAATTCTATGAAAAAATCATTTTTAATGCATTTTTCTTTCGTTTATTTTCGAAATCGCAAAATGGATAACCCTGAAAATGTATTCTACAATTCGAAAGTTAACCTAATTGGATAGCCTTTAAATCAAACAGTATTTTTTAAATAATATTAATCATATCTAAGCATAAATTCAATGATTCGTACTTACTGAAATCTATGAGCAGGCGTCCATAGCCCTTCCGCTGATATGGTGGTAGTGTTAATATGCATGAAACGTTGTAAAATGAATTTTTTTCCTGCAGGAAAAGGAACAAATCACAAGGTTGAAAATCAATAAACTATCGCTCAACACAATTATGAGAATTTAAGCAAAAACTTTTTATAAAAGGTTATTAATTAGTCAATTGGAGTAGAGATAATCTCCATATTTAGAATTAACATTTAGTAAGCATACATATATCTTCGTTGTTGCTGCTTACTTCAGAACTAAATTATTATCAACATAATAATAAACAACACTTCCGTTTAAATTAGGCTAATTAAATATCATTTTAAGTTATAAAAATCAATTTCTCTTTAGAGGTTACTCATACGCTCCGATAACCCTTTAGTTGCCATTTAAACTGCATAAAAAGTTAGCACCAGCATCAGAAAGTCAAAAAATTAAACAGTCTAAGCATATTAAAAAAAAAATTCAATTCAAATTTATATAGTAATTCAATAAATAATTAATTGTTTAATGCTAGTCATAAATTTTCTCAATTCCTTTTTGCAGAACTAAATTTTCCCAAAGCTTACACTTCTATTGCTACAATAAATAAGAAAAAACATTTTTTTCACTTTGAACCAAACTCCAAAAGCTTATTTTTACTTACTGCTGTACGAATAACAAATTTCTAACAAATCATTTAAACAAAGGTTTTCAAGAGCCATACAAAATTTTGTATTTTCGGGGTTCATTGACCACAACATTTCGCAACGTAGTCACTGAAGTTGTGAGTAAAGTGACGGGCGCCGACGTTGCGGCAATAGCTGCCACCAAGCTTACCGGCAAGCATGCACAAGCAAATTTGTATATTGAAGTTCTGTCTGGGCGTATGCGTACCCTGACCCATGGCAGCTCGTCAACGCGGCGGCTGGAAGAATAAAAACATGCAAACACCATACCATGTTGTTGTTGTTGTGCAGACAACCGGCGCAGACAATGTCAGCATCCTTTAAGTGGGGCGAATGAAAACTCGTACCCGTGTCAATTCGGTCGATAACCATGCCATTGCACTCGAAAACTCGGAAGCCAGACAAAAATAGCCAAACGACAGCAAAAATAGCAAAAAAAAAAAAAAGAAGAAGAAATACCGAGTATAAACGCCCCAAAAACAACTGAAAATTTTGACACGTTTGTAAAAACCACAACAACAACAGCAAAATGGAGTAGTAAGTTGCAGCAGCCGAATGTGTTTGCAGCAAGCATCCTTTGTGATGCTGCCCAAACGTCCAGGCCAACGTAATGCTTTTCCTGCCGCCACTAAGCTTCAGCTTTGTATTTGCGAGGAGGTATTGCGATTTTTCATTGTTAGACACACACACACACACACGCGCACACACAGTCAGACGTAAGCAAGTATCTATGCTCCCTCAGCAGCACGAAAAGGTTCACGACCTCATTACGTTGCACCCAACTGCAGAGAGCAACTTTGCGCGCATAGACACCGCTCCCCACTCAGGTTTTCTGCCGCTCTTCGTTCATTGGCTGCATTTCGAAGCTTCCGAAACTTTGCGTCTGCGCTGCCAATGACGACGTAATTTGCTTACTTACATACATACAAGTGCATGCCGACTGAGTCGGTGAGGGAGAGTCAGTGTGGCCGAGACCGAATCCGAGATTATTACATATTGTCGTTGGTGACTACGAAGCGTACACTTGTCTGCTCTCTTCCCATTCGTCTGCGATTTGTCTGCCGTTTGTTGTTATTTTCATTGTTATTATTGTTGTCGATATTGTTGGCATAGCAAACGAGTGCCGTCTGCCTTTTAACGTCTGCCATGTATAGCTCAAGGGCGTGGAACGGGCGGCGACGACGGCGATGGCTTCGGTTTGAGTGAGTTGACTGGCTGCTTGCCTGGCCGAGTGGGACTTTGTTGTAACAGTGTAGTCTCATTCCTAAGGGAATACCCAGAGAAATATGTATAAAGCATCTATTATATTGGTGTACTCTGTCGGTGGACGTATTTATTACTGAATCGACTGGTAATGTAGATACAAATGTGAGTATGTATTTATATGTATATCTTAGATTCGAGTTTTGCCGGCATGTATATATGTACATAAAAATGTATGTGTCTCTATGAATACATGCCTCGCTCCAAACAACTTTTAGACGCAAACGAATTTCGTCAACGGTTCGGCAGCCAATAGAATGCAACGCTTATGAACCTACCACAAAAGCATAACCAAAACAGTAGCATTGCAAAACCCACTCTAATGTCTAGTGTAAGGAAGAGGTGTGTGCGCATCCCTACAATGTGGCACCTCAGCCATACAAACATTCATCGTGAGCTTACCTCACGACCTACTCCACTCGGGATGCGCGCAACTATAATCGGATGATGATACTCCAACAACAAACAACAGAGTCGCCTACTCTATTACTACATCAAACCCCTCCCCCAACCATTGTCTGATACGCACAAGCTCCTGTGTATACAAATGTATAATCATCTGGGATTTATACCACTGGAGAGAGACTCGTATGGAAAATACAACAAAACAATATATTGACTATCCCAAATTTTTAATAGTATCCAACCATGATGTATATGTGAGTCGACACGGTGGGAGGGAAGGCGGTTAATGTCAATAACGGTGTACCAGCAATGTCCCTAGAACCACGGCATGCGCAATTTGTAACACAAACCCAGTCTGCTGTGTCCCTTTTGAGCTGTGCTATGCATCGGCGACTACTACTGCACCACTGCAGAAGAAAAATCAATGATATTATGTCGCGCCGGTAAACTCCACCATCCACCAAACGCCCGCTGGTAGCTTGCCCTTTACTGTTGTTGCCGTTAACATTCTCCAAACCGAACGGCTCAGCCCAGACATGCGCGTACAAGAGGAGCTGCAATCAGCATCGGAATTGGAAGCCGGGGCCGGTCGAGGAACTGAGGAGCAAAATGTGTACACAGTTTACGATTACAGTTACGACTTTTTTGGGTATGGTCAAGAACAATGTGCATACTACTAGGTATAGATAGTATGCTTGCATATGAATGCAGATATGTATGTAGATAAATATGTATCTACCTATACATATATGAATGGCAGATATACAGTGACTAGTTTTGTTATAAAAATAAAAATTAATAGAAATAAATATTTGAGGGTAAAATAATTGCTTTCTTTTTTTTAATGGTAGCGAATATAGCAGTTTATCACCTAACTTTTGGAAATCATATCTTAATCCCCCAGCACGTTTTTAGTTCCAGCATAAATAGTACGCCTAAATCTATGCCTTAAAACATAAATTCAATGCTTTGGTGCACAAAATTTTAATTTTCAAAAAATTGTTACTAACTTACCTTACTGAAGTATCCAACTGTATGGCAGCCATCTACATCGGCTAAGGTCATTATGTAAAATAGAAACGGCTCCACGTCGTAATAAAGCGTTTTATGGTCCAAAAAGAATTTTGCCAAGAGACACAAATGCTGACAGTATTGCTTGTGGCGTTTACCATCTACTTGCCAAACTTGTAATTTGCCTTTTCTATATATTTCATCACCGGGCGGATGTCTCCAGATACACTTTTCAGCATGCCTCTTAATCCCCGTTTCAGATTTTTGATATCTAAGGCAGAACTCGCAAATATACATTTGAGGCAGACGCGCAGCATCGTCAGGATATGGCGATTGATACCAGACTTTCATTTTGTATTTGCCCATAGTAATATATCTGAAATAACAAGCGTACATTTAAATACATGTATAAAATCTGTAGCAGAGAATTCTTCATAACATACTTTATGCCCTTTCCAACTGGCAAATCCTTCAGCTCATCCTCGACTGATTCAGACGCGATCGCTTGTGCATCGCGAAACAACTGCAAATCATAATCGGGTACTAAACCTATTATATTCGGCTCACGATCCTCATCAGTACAGTCCTTTTCGAGTTTTACCTTATCGGTATTTATCGCGGCTGCTATTGGGCGAAATCTTGAGCGTGATTCGCGAATTTTGTTCAAAAAATCATTTTGCTCACTTGTGCGCACTTTTTGCGTTGCGCTGTCAGCATTTGCTGAATTACCATTACTAGTGCGCAGGCGCCGCTCATTTCTTAATTTTCGTTCATTTACACGTTCCTTACACTCAGAAGCTGACATATTGTGATAAATAGGGCAGGCCTCTGGCAAGAAATGTCTATCCAAATTGCCACTTAGATGACCTGAAGAGTCACAGCCCTCAATTGGACACTTTTTCTCCAACTGTTGTGGTGGCGATAGTGATCGTGGTTTTGCAGATGCCGAACCAAATACACTGGGTTCTTTCTTTACTTTGTTTTTACTACCGCCAGTAGAGGAAATGCAACGTTTTGCTGGACTTTTTGTTAACGAATGTTTCTCCAAATCTAAATCTAAATCTGATTCGGTTTCCGAAGGTCCACCCAAGCCGCTACTATGTTTTTGTTGTTGTCTGGAACGCCTATTACTAAGTGAGCGAGTAAGTTTACGCGGTGCCTCGTCATCGGAATCAGAATTCGCAATTTTTGTTGTGGTAGGCGCCCGCTTGCCTTTTACGGATTTAACAGGCTGAGTGTCATAGGAATTACTGCTCTCGGTTGCTTCTGATTCACTAGAAGTCGTGGATTTGCCACTTTCAGATTCTGAATCTTCATCTTCTTCATCATCATCTGAGCTTTTATTCTTTACTTTGCTAACCACATTACGCTTCGGCAGTACTTTCGATTTTGCTTGCTTTTGTCTATTATTTTCGGTATTATTACCAACTGACGACGATCCAGCTTGTGCCGATAGCTTCACTTGTCCTTTGCGTTCACTTTTATTGCGACTGAGTGGAAATACCTCTGGTTCCGAATCATCTGAGCGGTGTACGCCAGTTGTATTTTTCTTTCCATCGAGGTCATTGTTGGCGGTACTATTCTGCGACCTTGCATTCACGGACGAACTTTTATTAGTCTGTGTAGTTTGCTTGCTTGTAGAGTTTTGAGGTGCCTTGCCACCAGTTATACGTTGACTTGGTTGGTTTTGAGTTGTAGTTGTACTTGAAGCAGACAGTTTTCGTTTCTGCGTTACATTGCTTGTAGTATTTGGTCTAGTTGTTTTCTTGCTGAGTGGAAGCTCTTCGTCACTAGAGTGATTGCTAACCCGAGCTTGTCGCTGAGATGTGGCATTACTGTTACTTGGCCTAGTTTTAGAAGATGTTTGCTGATTTGCTGTAACTTTTTCTCCTTCCGTTTTGGTTGTGGAACTTTTGAATTCAGAACTTTTACGGCGGGTAGTTACTTGACTTTTGGTAACTGCTTGGGCTTCATCAGCGCCACTTTTCTCATCGCCTGTACTACTTGATTCAGTATCAGAGGAACTACTGCCAGAATTGGAGCAGCTAGTGCTGCCACTTGATGAACTGCCTGACGTTGAACTCGAACTTGTCTCTGTAGTACTTGTGCTCTGTATGAGATAAGTTTAATCATTTAGTTATATTACCGATGAGTTTTTTATACTACCTTTTTTCGAAAAGATGACATTTTATTCAGCTTTTTCTTTCATACACAAATATACACAGCAATTTCGGAAAATACAATTTTTTGCATAAAATAGTTTGTTTATATACACTGCAGAATTGTAAAACGATTGTAAACGCATTCCACTTCTTGTACTAAGAGCAATTCACAATGTGATGTCTCAATAATTTTTTACAATCGGAATCATGGCTAATTCACACATTGTAGTAGTAAGCTTACGAATTAAACTTTTTTCATTTAAATGATTCGCTTCAGTGTAAAGACTGTCAAAATCTTTGTTTACGTTTTGCTTTTTATGTTGTGACATTTAAATTGAATTTCTTATTGAAAAAGTGAAAATTTTCGAATAGGATTTGTTTTAATTTTTTTTTCTAATAGAAACGACTATTCATTAATCAGTGACCAACGCACAAATAGGCCCATTGATCAGTGACCTGTTATAACACTTGTAGTTGTGCTGATGGATTACAGCTCTAGAAAGATGTGTTTAGTCCATTTTTGGCCATGCACTTGATCTCATTCAACCATGTATAAGTTCGTCAGCCTTGCAATTGCTTTGAATGTCCCAGTGTGGCAATATTGTGTTAAAATAAGTAAACTTAATCTAACGGCATCAATGTTAATTTTTGTTTCTCTCTTTTCTGACTTTGGTTCAAGAGAGTTATATGTATATACCACGATTTTGACAATTGTTACAGTGAAAGCAAAACCAAAAAAAATGTTGTGGCATTTAAATTGAATGGCAGGCGCAGATAAAACGTAAGCATTTAGTTAATATTTTGCAACCAAATTAAACAAACCTTTTTCATAGATAGCGTAAGTTATGAACGCTGGAAGCCAAAGGATTGTTGAAATGCTACATGGCACGGAAGGAAAACTTCCACCAAACACATTTATCAAAAAAAAAACATTAAAATATATATATATATATATATATATATATAAGATATTACATTTCAAAATCCCAATTCAAATAACTTTTTCAAAAATATCGACTTTCAGCCTCACCCTAATTTTGGCTTATTGTGAATGAAATGAATAAACAAGAAGAAGATTTAAAACGTCAATGTTGTGTCAACTTCAGGAGTTTAGTTTAGTAAACGTTTCCATTGGCATTTTAATTTTTACTGCTTGTTTCAGCCGATTTAAAGGTAAACATCATTAAAATGGGCAACGATAAAAGGCGTCGTTCGCATTCAAGGGAGCGTCGGGATCGGGACCGTGATAGAGAGCGCGAACGTGAACGAGATCGTGATAGGGATCATGAGCGCGACCGCGACCGTGATCGTGGTCGTGACCGGGAACGCGATAAGGATCGTATTAGACCCCGTTCTCGGTCTCGTGGCCGTGATCGTGATAAGCCCACCGAAAGGCGACGTCTGGAAGAAAAGTTTAAAGACGAAAAGGAAGAAAAAAAGCCAAATATAAAAGATGAATTGGAAATGGAAGACGTCAAAATGAGAGATGATAAAACGAAATTGGGCAAAAAGGAACCACTTTCACTTGAAGAACTACTTGAAAAGAAGAAAAAGGAAGAGGAAACCCGAAGTAAACCTGTATTTTTAACGAAAGAACAGCGAGCTGCTGAAGCACTGAAGCGGCGCCAAGAAGAAGTCGCTGCCATGCGTAGCGCTCAAAGCGCTGCTAATGCCGCAGCTATTGCCGGTAATGAAAGTGCTAATAATTCATTGGGGATACCGACGACTCATCTCAAAAATGAAAGAATGGATAGGAAAGATCGTGAACGAGAGTACGATCGTCGTGATAAGGAGAAAGGGCGTGATCGTGATCGTGACCGAGAGCGTGATAGGGACCGTGAGAGAGATCGAGATAAGGAGAGAGATAGAGACAGCAAACGTGCTGAAGACCTTTCACATAAGGACAAAGAAAAGGAGTTGGAAGCTATACGTGAACGTTATTTAGGTATTGTGAAGAAAAAACGTCGAGTTCGCCGACTTAATGATCGCAAATTTGTATTCGATTGGGATGCTGGAGAGGATACTTCCATTGATTACAATAACTTATACAAGGAACGACATCACGTACAGTTTTTCGGTCGAGGTAATGTGGCAGGTATTGACATCAAGGAACAGAAACGTACGCAAAGTAAATTCTACGGAGACTTGCTAGAGAAACGTCGAACAGAAGCCGAAAAAGAACAAGAAAAGGTACGTCTTAAGAAGGTGAAACGTAAAGAAGATAAACAAAAATGGGATGATCGTCATTGGTCCGAAAAAGCAATTGACGAAATGACCGAACGTGATTGGCGTATTTTCCGAGAAGATTATAATATCACAATTAAAGGTGGTAAGATACCGAATCCCATACGAAGTTGGGCCGAGTCAGGCTTCCCTAAGGAAATCATAGAAATTATTGATAAAGTGGGATACAAAGAACCAACCCCTATTCAAAGGCAGGCAATACCAATTGGTTTACAAAATCGGGATATTATCGGTGTAGCTGAAACCGGCTCAGGAAAAACTTTAGCTTTCCTTATACCACTGTTATCCTGGATTCAATCGCTTCCTAAAATTGAGCGGCTCGAAGACGCAGACCAGGGACCATATGCTATCATTATGGCACCAACACGCGAGTTGGCTCAACAAATTGAAGAAGAGACTATTAAATTTGGTCAGCCATTGGGTATACGAACGGTAGTAGTGGTAGGAGGTCTGTCACGTGAAGAGCAAGGTTTTCGCTTGCGACTTGGTTGCGAAATCGTCATTGCTACACCTGGTCGTTTGATCGATGTGCTGGAAAACCGATATCTTGTTTTGAGCCAATGTACATATATTGTACTGGATGAAGCAGATCGAATGATTGATATGGGTTTTGAACCTGATGTGCAAAAGATTCTAGAATATATGCCGGTAACAAATTTAAAACCCGATACCGAGGAAGCTGAAGACGCAAGCAAACTAATGGAAAACTTCTACTCTAAAAAGAAATATAGGTTAGTAATTGCATAACGGTTTTGATTTATAAAATTTAAATACACCTTTCAATTCACTTTTTTAGGCAAACTGTGATGTTTACCGCTACTATGCCACCAGCTGTAGAACGTTTGGCAAGATCTTATTTGCGAAGACCTGCCACTGTTTATATCGGCTCAGTAGGCAAGCCAACTGAGCGTACAGAGCAAATCGTATTTATGATGGGTGAACACGACAAGCGCAAGAAACTGATGGAAATACTCTCCAAAGGAATTGAACCACCAGTTATTATTTTCGTTAATCAAAAGAAGGGTGCGGATGTGCTCGCCAAGGGGTTGGAGAAATTGGGTTACAATTCGTGTACACTACACGGTGGTAAAGGTCAAGAACAGCGTGAATATGCACTTGCGGCACTTAAGTCTGGAGCCAAAGACATGTTGGTGGCTACAGATGTTGCTGGTCGTGGTATTGATATCAAAGATGTGTCTTTGGTCATCAACTATGATATGGCGAAAACAATAGAGGATTACACGCATCGTATTGGTCGTACAGGACGTGCAGGCAAAAATGGTGTGGCTATTTCGTTCGTTACCAAAGATGACAGTGCACTATTCTATGATCTTAAGCAATGCGTAACGGCTAGTCCTGTATCCATCTGCCCACCAGAACTCATGAATCATCCAGATGCCCAACATAAGCCTGGCACTGTGGTGACAAAGAAGAGACGAGAAGAGAAAATATTTGCTTAAGGCTAAGGAAAAAGTAATAATTTGGACATTTTTACAAATTTTGGCAAAAGATTTTAAATAAGAAGGTCGCTAATATTACATACTTCAGAGTGGGTTAAAAAAATTTTAATAAATTAAATTTGAAATACAAAAATAATATGACACTTTAAAAATATTTATTAAAGCTGAACTTATAAAATTACAATCTCAAACGGTTATGACCTCAAAAGCCTTAAAAAGAACGCAGTTCGACTTTGTTTTGAATGAATAGGTAAATATTTTTCATAAAAGTCCAGAATTACTTCCTCAATTTTGAAGCCAAACTTCTGATACAACACAACAGCGGGGTTGGAAGCAGAGACATGTAGTGTTATGTCCTTTGCCATACATGTCTAAAGAAGGTAAGGTATTTTCAGTTTGAATTTTGTACAACAAAATTTCCAAAACAATTTTACCTGTATAAGATGGTATAACATAAAAGTTCCTATACCGCAACGCTGCCAACCCGGTCGAACGGCCATAAACGATATGTACGCCTCATTATAGCCCACATCAGGTACTAGAAAACCACAACCAACTACCAGTTTTTTGTAAAGCGCCACCACACTATAATCTGGATAGCTCAGACATTCAGACACTATAAAATTATAAAGGAGATTAGTTCTCCGAAAGTGGTATTGAAGTGAAATGGGCTTACTTACTATCAATTCCTGGCCAGAAGGATGTTTGCAATAAGGCATTCACTGCAGCAATATGATTAGGACGCACATAACAAAAGTCAATTGGTGCCCGGTAGGGATATTTTTTATTAACCTTGAATTGTAGCTCGCACATTAACTGTAAAAAACGAAATTAAAAAGAAACTTTAGTAAAACCATATATTATTACTTCTCACCTGCAACCAAGGAGGTGCTATTTCCTTATCTCTATATATAAACGGATGTAAAATTCGGTGTGAATATGGTGACTCGAACTTTTCATACTCGATTGAACCGCAAATTCTAGCATAAAATGATTTATTTGCCTTTTCCGAGGAAAGCGATATCAACTGAAAGCAACACATGAGAGTTAATTATACGGAGTTCAAAAATAACCATATCATTGATTCTATTTAGCCTACCTGGTATCTATCAATGATTTGTGTTTTCTCCTCATCTACTGGATCATTGCTCTTGCCATTAATTTGATCATCTAGATTAAAAAGTGGTTTTCCGTGTTCTCGTTTCCATTCGCGCACACATAGTTTTCTATAGAAGCGGCGTACATAAGCTGGAATTTCAATTTTCAACTTGTCCTCCATATTGAAAACTTTACGCATTTTTTGTAAAAATTCAATTTCCTCGTATTCGCTCATCATAGATACCCTGTAGGAAATATGAATTTTGGAGATTTATTATATTTATTGTTAAAAATACGTACCTTCCTTGCTGATTAAATGGTTTCTTTTCCTTGGATTGACTTCTGATTTGTTCGCCTGTCCCATCATCTTCATCTTCAACTAACCATGGCCAATTTCGACGAGGAACTTTTGTAAAAAGGCTTGGTTTGCAGACATTTAAAGAGTTTGCATTTCCTTCAGCTCCAATCTCGGATTCTGGGCCCTTAAGCACTTTACAATCTTCATTATTCTTTGTATTATATTGTTCTTCACTTTCGGACTGTTCAGCATCTGATGTTAATTCTTTCTTGATTTCTTGCCCTAATCGACTTAATACCGACTGATCTTCGACGGAAGAAGATTGGTCTTTAATAGGTGATTGCTTCAGCTGTTGAAAATTAGTAACTTGTATTATACGTGGCTGATATTCCTCATCGTCTTCCTCGGCGTCGTTACTACACTCAGATGGTGTTTGCATAGAATCTTCATGAATACTGCAAAATTTTTTTTTAAATAAAATTGATAATTTAACAACTCTCCATCTACTTACAACTGTTCAATACAAGCTTCTGATGGCTGCTGTTGATTTTCTGAAACGTAAAAGCTTTTAAATTTATCGGCAATCGGCTCGGCGTTTTTATTGCTCTCCGAATTACCATTATGTTTAGTTTCCAACGCATCCAAATTATTCAAATTATCATTGTGTGTTTCGAGAAGAGGAAGCAAGTCATGTTTTCCGTCACCGCCTATCAATGTTTCAGAACTGAATAAATCATAGTTAGCCAGACTCTCTGCCAGAAAATCCATTAAACTCGTTTGGACAGTGTTCAGGGATTCTTGCTGTTGCTGTAGGTTTTTAATATCGTCGTCCACAATATTAAGTTGCTTGGCTAATTTCGGCGTACGCCCCATATATGGTCTGTAAAAACATATTAATTATTAATATAAAGCGTTATATTCAACAATAATAAATATAATACATTGTGCGGCTACAACCGTCAGCTATTGGCATTAAGTCATCATCCGAATCAGTATGGCGTACGCGCTTGTTTTCCTGCTGCTCTTCTCCGCTATCAACGTCCCTTCCTAATCGCTTATCAGTACGCATTTGTGAACGTTTTTGACTATATTCTTCATCTAAAAAATATCTTTTAATTAGAAATTGGATTTGATGGTATTTTAGTTTCGAGAAACGCATACATTTTTTATGAATAATTTTCGGCGTCAGATGCGGTTGAGCAAGGCGCCACCAGCCCGATTTTTGAATAGTTTCTTGACCGGACAGGAAAAATTCGGGGCTATAATGTGATAAATTACCGGAAATGGAACCGAACCAGTTTTTGCGGCGGCGTCTAATGAAGAAAGGCATTTCAGGGTTCTATAAATGTTGGAAGGTACTTCAACTCTCGCCACACTTACGTTCCTGGCTCCATTAAAAAATCCCAATTTTTATTAACGAAACTCACTATGTGGGAACGCCAGTGGAAAAAGCCATGATGACTAAGTCCTTTAGACTTTATCGATAAGTTGTACAATGTTAATACCACTATCATAAACCATGACAAGCGCTGACGAATGAAAACTTCACGTGGCAATGTCGTTTTTGCTGATGAAGAAGTAGAAGGTGCATTATTCTGTAAATTTGTGCAATCGGCACAGGTGAAATCAAAGAACACATCACCCAGCAAATCACCAGGACGACACGTGCGCAGACATTTCGCATGCACCAGAGATTCACATTCCACGCACTCCATATAATCATCCTCCTCAGCAACATGATGATTACAGCAAGAGCAATGCATTTCCACATGGAGATTTTGTGAAATCTCCTTGAAATATTATTATTATATATCAATGATCAATATTTTGTTTAGAAACAAAAAACGGCAATAAACTGAATAAAACAACGTTGTATTTACGTTCTCTGTGCTGAGCACATTGGAAAAGGCATAAAGGAATACAAAATTGGCTACAGGGTTGTATAATACACTGACGGATGCGCAAATAAACATAGCATTCGATAACTATTTGTAATGAGTTCTAAAAATTTCAATCAGTCTTGAAACATAAACCTCTAGGCGTTGTTTGATATTTAAGAAAGTTTAATTAAAAAGAAGAAAAATCCAATTTATAGTGCTCAAAACTTTTGGAGACAGGGCGGGTATGTTCATAATTAAATTTTACTTGTTTCAGAGAAATTTAACTCACAAAAATATTATAATATTGTAAAATTTAAATGAAATGGTTATCATTGGAAAAAATTTAATTGAAACTCGTCACTTTTGCTTCCAAACAAACAAAAATAATAAATTAATTAGAGACAGACTGCCACATCCATTTATTTTGCTTGATAATATTTAAATAATGCCGCGAGTTGTAGTTTATAATACAAACGATGACAAACAAGTGCGAAATTTCAAGGACCTAGGTAGATATTACCAGCGAACCACACTTCCGTATTCTAGATTTTCCACCGTATTCTAGATTTTGTTGCCCAAGAACTTATCAGAGCTGCTATGGAGGTACGTCGAAATGCATACTGTCCGTATAGCAAATTTCAGGTAGGCGCCGCCATTCAAACGTCCGATGGTTCGATTTTCACAGGTTGTAATATTGAAAATGGTGCCTATCCAGCGGGTATATGCGCTGAACGAACAGCCGCATGCAAGGCAGTTAGTGAGGGTAAACGTGACTTCGTCGCATGTGCTGTTGTGGCGCAACAAGAGAGTGGGTTTACCACGCCCTGTGGAATTTGTCGCCAATTTCTAGCTGAATTTGCAATGCAACGAGATTTTCCAATATATTGTGCTAAGCCAGCTTGCCCGCCATTGCGTGTGCTTGCAACAAGTATCCGTGATCTGCTGCCTCGAAGCTTTTCTTTTCTGGCAAATAAATAAATTGAAATTATATTTTTTTTAAATTTTACGGCCAATAATCACCGAAAATATTTTTTCGACAAAATAATGTGTATATTTGGTTATTTTATTAATTAACTGTTTCAGTGTATGTTCTACCTAGTAATTCAGATAATGCCGTCACTGACACAAATTGTGCAATGTGGAACTAGCGTGAGGCTACTTTGCTATGCTGCAGGTTTACTTGAAGTACTTTCAGCACTTATAGACTGTGCGTCTCCTTCTTTTTCTCCCTTGACTATTATGGCAATACCATCTACTGTCGTCTTTTCGCAGTTTTCGGGTCAGTCATATCCAGGACCTAGTCCTTCTCGACTTTCTCTGATTGCTCTGCAGCAACTTCGTAAGCTTAGAGACATGAACTACCCTTCGATATCGTGCTAAAAGATAGGCCATTCTTTGTCGTCATGCCTAGCAACCTTTTCTGGCTTATTGCTATTCGCTTAGCCTCTCTTGTCGGTCGACCGGCTATTCGAAGTGCCCCGAGCCCTGCCTCTGAAATTCGCTCTTAGACGCTATTCTCCAATAACACTGAATTGTGTGACAGATAGGCAGAAAAGTACTGATTGGTGTTTCAGCTAAGCCACCGTATCAAGGTGTGTTTCCGTAAAATTGTAGAATTATCTATAACCGCAAAACAGTGCTTGCGACTAACAAGAGAAGAAACAATAAGAAAAATGTTGTCCATTAATAATACCAAACGACTTTTTAACTCTTCCCCCCTGCGGGGTAGGACGGTAAGGCACGCCTGTCGTAAGGGGCGACTAAAATCCAGTAGTTCCCGCGACGGTCGGGTCTTTATACTGGAACGACCCGGATTTTTATCTGGCCAAGGATTGTCACTCCCGCAATATTTCCCAAAAAGTACTTTGGTGAATATTTTTGCGGTTACAAAAACAACAACTTTTTAACTTATAACGCGCATAACCGGATTATAGCTTAAGCAAACCTGAAACGTAGCTGCCATATTTCACCACTCTCCACCGGAAGTAATGGTTGCTCGAACTTTCCTATATCCTTTATTTAACTCCCGGACACACACAAACGAAGTTTTGTAAAAAATCAGGGGAAGTCTAAAATTACAGATGCTACTATTATTTTCATGAATGAACAATATTTATACTGCAAAGTATGCTTACATACATATATTTAATTAAACAAATTTCTAGCGATTATCTTTGCTCTCTATCGCTTTGGTGGTGGCTCAATTCTGCGCTCTTAACTCTCTCAACCATTAGAAGGTAGACCATTTCTAATGACTACACAATCAAACATATATACGTACATACATCGGAGCGCATTAAGGCCTATGAGCTTGTCTGTATTTGTTTATAGAAGTAAACATAGTGATAAGGCGAAGAGAATGAACGCCAAAGAAACAATAAACCACAAATAGCTATATACTAATTAGCCTTTTGGCCATAAAGGTGACTGTGAAAGAAAATACAAATCTTTCAGTTGGTGATCATACTTTGAGGAGAATACATAGAACGCGCACCATTACGCAAGAAAAAGAAAAACTCGTGCATACAGTGCTCTTGAAATACTAAAATAGCAATTTAATAATATACAGATTTTCCACAAAATGGACATATACCAAGTGACGGGATTGAGAAAACCAGAAATTGTCGAACGTATTGAAAAATACAATGATTTAGGTGAGTAACTGTGTTTACTGCCATAAAACTGAAATTTATTAAGTGCCATAAGTAAAATATTTTGTTTTAAAATCTCTATTCCCTGTTTACATGTAGTGAAAGAGGCCTAACTCAAAATTTCTCAAAATCGATTTTTTTCATTAAACAGTATCGAAACGCCTTAACTTTTGGTGCCTTAAAATTTTATACGATTTTAAATTACCGTAAAATTGTTTTTACTGCTACAGCTTGTTTGTTTAACAGCGATAGCTTTTTTATGTATACAATATACTTTCATGATAATAAATTCGTACATGTCTGCTCGTTTGTAGATGAACCAACCAAGGAATTGATACAGGCAGCTATTGCCGCAAAGGGGCGTGCCTATGTTCAATACAGTAACTTTCCTGTTGGCGCAGCTTTCCGCGCTAAGGACAACCGCATCTTTAGCGGCTGCAACATTGAAAGTGCCAGTTTCACGCCGACAACTTGTGCTGAGCGCACGGCTCTCTGCAAAGCCGTAAGTGAAGGCTATACGGAGTTTGTTGCCGGTGCAGTTGTGGCCTATCAAGAGAATGCCTTTACAACGCCTTGCGGTGTGTGTCGCCAATTCATAATGGAATTCGCGCCTAACGATATACCACTATTTATTACAAAATCACAACCGAATGTTGAGAAGAGTAACGATGATTTCGTGCTTGCAACTTCTATTTACAATCTGCTGCCTCACGGATTCCGCACATACAAGAAGAATTGATGCATCCACACATACGCATGTATGTACATACTGTATACATGTGAGACAAAGATAACTGTGTTGATCCCCACCAATAATTGGAGTTTACAGTTTAATCATATCAAACTATGGACCTCACTTAAATACTTATACCGTTATTGTGTGCAATAAAGAGAGTAAATTAAGAAACTTGCTGATTGCAATAGTAAATACGTATGTACATACTTAAGATGATATGTAATTTTATACTTGTGCGCATATAACAATAACAAATACGTACATACATACACACATATAAATGTACATGCATATTTGTATTAAAAAAAAAAAAAAATAAAACTAGCTGTTATTATTTCGCTATCGTTCAAAACACACGCTTGTGTATGCCCAGCATGTCCAACATACAACAAAAAAGAAAAAATTTTTTCAATTTAATTTTTTTTTTTCAATTATTTAACAATTAATCTTAGAAGTTTTTTATTCGAAATATTTATAAAAACTAATCTCTTTAACCCTCTGTCACTCATAAAAATGATTTTTTTTTATTTTTAGTGTTGAACACGGGCGACACTAAGTTAAGATGGCTTGAGTAATTCTCCCCCTACACTAAGAGAGGTGAAAGATTTTAAAGCAATTCTAATTTTTTTTGTGTCAAAAGGCTAACCCGCATTCTTCACAGTCGTTGTACATTTTAAATCGCAGACCCCAGTGTGGCCTCGAAGAACTGTTTTAGGAGTCACATGCGCTGAGCAGATCCTTTGTGCTTTTTGAATCTTGAAGCTCGTTCTCCAGCGACCGCCGACTAGATATACTAGGTTTGATGCCAATTTCGCTGATGATAGATCTCGACCACATTGAAGGTTGTTGTACTTGGTGATTCTTTAGTATAGAATCTATAACTTAGCCACCGTCATCTGCAAATAATGGTAAAACAGACGCATGGGATATCGCTTACTTCGCAAGCGTCTTTTGTAGATGCCCATTATATTGTCAAGGAAGTCAATACGACCAATATGGCGATTTTACTCTCATACCAAGTTCGGGCGCCCGATGTTTACGTACTTCGAGTTTTTTTGTCTCATCTATGATTTCGCCCAGCAAATGTAAAAACCAGGTTCACGATATTCTTTTCCTTCCATGCGACATCGACTTCATTGACGTCTGACATTTTCTTCAGAAACCTTCTCTGTTCCTGATTAAAATTTGTCTCAAGGGAAACCGTCAGAAAGAAGAGTCCACCTCTAGAATATCATCATATAGAGATGGCTGATTTGAAGTTTCACATGTTGGTACAGTGTCTGTACTGTGGGATGGATTTTCATGGTCGTCCTTTAGAGTCTCGATTATGACATCAACACCAATATAGATTTCTGTAGCCTTTTTGTTTTGTTTAAATTTGTGGTATAAAGTCTGGGTCTGCAACGTTATCATCGTCAAAATCTAAACCCTCCTTATTCTCGACGTCATCCGTCAGTGCAGAAGCTATGTACTTGGTTGGACTGTAGATCACGGACGACATGGCATCTCACCACAAAATAATTTCTTTTAATTCTAGTAGAACCTAGAACGGTAAGTTGCCATGGCTCAGAGGGTTAAATTTCGTTCACTGGAATTCAACTTTTTTATCGCTCCGATAAGCAGTGCAATTGGCACTTTCATTACCTGCAAACTCCCAAAATAATAAAATAATAAATAAATAACCTTTCGAAGAATTGAAATACAATCAAATAGAGATATACTAAATAAGATTATAACATCAACGGTGCTTTATAGCGCCAAAGCCGATCTCCTTTTCCGATTTGCGATGTGTGTTTTGTTTGATTTCTGGCAAAATGGAGAAACTACAGTTTATCCTGAGCCACCTTCGAACGACTTTTATTAGTACCTGTTATTTCTTGCAAAAAGGACACTCGAAGTTTACATTCTCTGCCGAGGGCAACCACAATTAGAAATATTAAGTTTCAATATTTCTAAAAGAAATTTCAAACAGGCATGTAATAGAGGCTAAACCTCCTCCCAAATATATCAGAAAGAGAATACCAGATTTAAAGGATACAATCCAGCAACACGTTCAACAACCGCAGGCCATTCACCAGCTGTCAGTTAACACCTTCAGATACTCCCTTCCTGTGAATGGCCTCCTTAGATTCAAATCACCACCTAAAGCAGACGATGAGTCGAGCTGCCTCGAGAGCCGGGTAATACTGGCGCAACTTAAGTCTGGTTATTATAGCACGTTAAACTCTTGTCTATCCAGACTCAACCCCGACATACCTAATATATGTACCGTACTTTTACATTTCCCCTAAAACTAACTCATCTAACCTCCCTCTAATAATGGTTCGAACCATTCTAAACAGCTGGTTCCTGGACCTCCCGTTAATTGATATTTGTCACTTCGACTAAGTAGCCTGTTCCATAGAGAAAAAAACTACCGTTACAGCAACAACAACAACAACAGAATATAAATTTTGTATAACTTTGGGCCTTGGTCTGGCCAGGAACCGACTTCTTCGCCTTCTTTTGCATGATACCACGAACTGACAACTGTTAACTCGGTCACAGCGGCTGCTATTAAATTCGTTTTCTTCAATACAATCATTCGAGTATAATGAGTAATTCCCATATTTCCTAGTCTTAATATAATTTATTTCGAAAATAAGCTAAAATCAATTTTTAGATATAATCAAGATCATGTTTGCATAAATGGGGTCTTGATATATTCAAACGTATTTCAGTGTTCGCTCACCGGAACCATATAACTTATATTCAGTGTCTTTTGGTGACGGTGTAACCGGATCAAAAACTTGTCGATTGTGTATGTGAGCGGTTTCAAAGTCTATGGCACGTTTAATTGGCTCAATATAATTTTGGCGCACCTCGGTAGTCATACCCGAGTTAGGTACATGTGCCACCAGGCTGGGAAACTCACAATGCCGTTTTGGACATTCTTTTGCTGGCAGACTATCACACATGGTGTCATCGCGACCGAAAAATACACGTTTGCTTTGAGTACTATATTTAGACCAATTCCAGAACGTTATATTATCGTGACGGGCCACACTGCCCATTAGCTCATCGGGTGTATAATGTGCAAATGCTAAACGTGAGGTTGTGGCTGTTGGATCGAGTAATTTCGAAAAACTCGGCTTAGTACGATTGATTACAAGACTGGAAGCGGAGACGGCTGAGGGTAATGGTATCGGCGCTGGTTGTGCAGGTTCGGCTTGGGGATTCCACACATAATCTTGGTGCATAACACTGCTGGCCGGGCGCATTGGACGGCTTATGAAGCGCAAACGGCGATCTTCAAAGTTCTTCATTGATTGCACTTTTGGACCGAGAGAAGGATTGATGACCTTATTTGGGTCTTCATACTGTTAAAGTAATTCATTAATATGTACATATATGTGTTAATATCATTGAAAAAAAATGTTTGGTAAGTCGTTTCCAACTCACTTTCCATGTGAAATTAGCTTTGTAATCGCTGGTGCGTAGTTTCTCTAATGTTGGATCTAATTTATACGGTTTTGGCTCCTTGAATTTTGCGTGCATGTGATTGCCCACCATTGTATCGGTCATATAAACATGACTCCGATTGGTTGAAGTGCGCATATCGTCTTTGCACTCATCACTTGGCTTTTTATAATCGATGAATCCAAAATCATTCATACTTAACGGTTAATAACGATTTCCTACTTCGACACAAATATGTTATCTAAAATATATTTATATTTAAAACGAGAAAAACAAACAATCATTGACTTTTTGACTTTTGGAGAGGTGAGAAATGAGAAAAAAAATTATTATTTGTCGATACATGTCTTATGGTTGCTAAGGTTTAGAGAACGTATTTAAGTACACACTTAAATAATATTTATATATATTAGTATTAACGTTGCCACAGAGATATTTGTATTTATGTAATGGTTTACACTACTAGTATGTATATCCGTGATTTCTTTTTTTTTTTGTGATTATGCGCCTACTGGAGACAAGTTCTAAATGAAAGCGCTTATTAACATACGCACATATGTATAGATTAAATACTTTTATTTGAAATTAAATAGACTAAGCACTTGGAATGACAATAGAAAAGTTATTTGCTTAATTTGAAATAAATTTATCCTATTTTGTTTTCCTAAGCTGTTTCATTATAAAAAAAATCAATACGTACATGCATATTTTATGCTTAGAAATCATAAATACATTTTTAGAAATACTTTATAATTATATGTAGATAGTTTATCTTTACATATCTGTAGGTATGTATATCATAATATATCCATAATTATGTAACATTTTTGTATTTTGTATTTGAAATATGTGTTTGTATATATAGTATACAAATGAACAGAGATATTGAGAAGATTATAACAGTACATATTAGCAGTTCAGGCGATTTCTTTAAGAGCCAAGAGCGATTGACGCAAGTATTCGTATTGAGTGCGAGCATGCTTAATTTCCAATTCAGCAAGTTCAACCAACCTTAATTAATAATAAGAAAATTATTTTATTTTATTTTAGTTCAGTCTGTTTAATATTTATATATGTGGTACCCTTTTTTGAAGGCCGCTACACGACGATTTCGAAAACCGACCAGTTCTTCCTTGCCACAAGCAGACATCGATTCGAATTTCTCACAAGCCTCTGCTTGTGCTGTCTCCGCCTAAATCCATATAAGCAATGAGAATGGAAGAAGTGTTTGAATGCAATCGGATAAGTTTTTAAAGGTAGTCACAAGCAATATTATTGAAATCATACAAACATGCTTTGTTAATTGAGAGAAAATAGATAAATTTTGTTTGCTCTGTGTATTAGGTATTTGTATAACTTTGGTGCTGTGTAAAACTTGCGAATAATGAATGTTATAAGGGAATGACATTGCAATATATAAACTTTTTTGTATAATATGAAAACAATTACAACAAATAATATGAGTAACAAATAATACACCAAGTACCTCTTGAACATCCAAAGGCTGCATATGAATTCGTTGAAAGCATTTGTTTGATTTTTTGTATAGTTTGCATTTTAAAAAGTGTGAATAAAAAGTTTTAATTTAAAAATATTTAACTAGTACAAAAAATTATATTGATTTAATTCGAAAATGTGAATATGTGAAACAAATTTGCGCGAGTGATAAAAGAAATACACAAAACTGCACTGCACAAAATATAAATAAAAGATTATATAGGTATATAGTGAGGAAGACTAAAACGGATTTGCACGAAGATAGCATTTGAATAGGCCAATGAGTAAAATTTAGCAATAAATATAAATAAAATATCTTACAGCATGCACATCCTTGTTTTTGGCACGTGCTTTCTCTAAATTACGATTAGCCGCTTCATATGCAGCCAAACAACGCAAGCGCCGTATTAGAAGCGCTTTTGCAGCATCGCTATCACGCTGATAGTAGCGCAGCGTATCCCCGAGTTTCAAGTCCTGATCGCTAGAAACACGCGCTTCTAAATTCTGGTAAGTAATGTGAAAGGAAATAATTCCAATTCTAATTATAAGACAACTTAGATTATACCTTCATTTTTTCAAAGATCTCTGCTGATTTCGCACAAAATGTCTCCATGCTGCCTCTCTCTGCAGTCGACAATTGCATTAATGCATTTGAGATTTTCTGATGACATTCGCTGACTTCTTTGTGACGTTGCGTCATTTTCTCCGTACGGACGGCAGCATCACGTAAATGTCCATGATATTCAATGAGAAATTGTAGCTCGTTTTCAAAGAAATCATTTACATCGCGTACCGTAGCACTCATAAGTATTTCATCCGTAGTCTTGCCTAATGACTTAACAAATCCGCCGAAAATGGCCATTTTCTTTCGTGGCTTTGCACATAGATCTTGATCGTATTCAAGGAATACCTTTAAATGTTGATCAACACGAAATACAGGATGATTTGCCAGACGACGTAGAAAAACTTCATGCATTGCAACGGTTTTCTTAAAGGTGGCCAAGTACTCGCTGAAGAACATAATGGTGCGTTGTAATGAGTAGCCAATACAGTTATTCTTATTTTACACAATTTAAGACTTACGCTTCAAGCTCTAACTTCATTTTCTTAAACTCTTCTTTCGTCATATTGCCTTCACCCTCACCAAGACGTTGTAATTTTTCACGAGAGGCATCAAAGTCTGGGCGTGGCGGACATGGTGGTATCTGAAATATTGAAAATTAAATCGGCTCTACAAAGCTACATATGTATTCAGATTACTTACAATATAGCCAGCATATTCCTCATTTTCCTCAAAACGATCGTGCAACCAAACAAATTCCTCATGCTGGCGCACTACATTGTTATCTTGCTTAGCGAAGCCGGGCAGAGTTGTGCGTGTATGCACAGTAAATTTTACTTTATCTTTTTCGCTTAAAGCATCGGAAATTTCAACATGCAATGTATTTTCTGCGAGAGCAGCTGGTGTTATGGCTGATGAGGATGATTCCGATGTGGCGTTACCACTGCCATTATTCGCGGCAGCTGTTACAGTGTTTCCACCGTCCCCTTCGCGCTGTGTCGTAGGTGAAGCAATTTCCATTATTGTGGGATTGCTGGTAGCCATATTGTTGCTTTCAACGCCTAGAGGTGCAGATATACTTTTATGCATATTTTCAACTGCAGTTAAGTCGTCCGTACCGTCCTAAAAAGATTTGGGAAAAATTTGATACAAATATATGAATATTTTTTAAGTAAGCTACGTAAACTGAATTATGTTGGACTTTTTAGACTTATCAATATATAGTCGCAACACGCCTTCATTTTAATTTTTTGTTAAGTTTAACTAACATTGATAGACTAATGCATGAAAATGAAAAAGGGCGGATGGATTTGACTCATTCAAGCCGCCACTGATAAAAATACAACAGCTTTTAATTTGGAGTTTAATTGATCACCGACATTTGTCTTACCATCATATTTATGTATGTGTATTTATGCTTCAACAAAAAAGAGGAAAAATAATATTTTTTCAAATTCTATCACGTTGCAATTTTCTGTATTCTACTTTCTTTTGTTTCGCTTATAATTATTTGATTATATTTTTTTTTAATAAAATTTGTCACAAGTGATGTGAGAAAATTTGTTTGTTTGTTTTGTTTGTCATTCGATTATTGACAGTCAGCTGTTGACACGCAAAAAAACCGGTTATCGGTGAAATCTTATGGAAGGAATTTAACCCTTCGCTTATGATATTTGATTTTTTTTTATTTTGTATAAAATTTTTATATTTACTTAGATGCTAATAAAATAGACCCCTCAAAAAATTTTTATAAATAGTAACACTATTTTTTCTGTTGATACCACTTCGGTCGTATGAGATAAATAAAACTTTGAGAACACGTGCTCGTTCCGATCCAATTTGTATGTAGACTACTTACCAGTTTATTTAAGAAATCTTTTGACAAATTTACACCCGCTGTGTAATCACACTTTTTATATACTGAACACTTTTCCAAAGGTATTCTCGGTGTTTTCAGAAATGGCTCTTGACATTTATGAAGAATATGATTGTAAATATTTAACATAACTTTAATGTTTTTTGCAAAAAAAACAACGATAACTAGAACAATAACTTCAACTAAAATTTAGACAAGCAAAACACTTTAAGAGCAAGCTGAATACTAAAGATTTGTATGCTTCTTATTACAACTAACTGTAATTTGTGTAGTTCGTAGTGATACATACATATGTATATGAGATATACAAAAATCCAACTTAAGGGCAGTCGTAGAGTGCAAGCTGAAAATCGAGCCGAGCTTAAACATGATGAATGTGAGAAAAATTTTTATGGATATAGATTTTCTGTTTAATCTTGATTGAATCCTCTTGTTGTTATTGTTGTTGTTATAACTATTTGCAAAACCCCGCCTATGAGCAGCTATCGGGAGGTTTATGAAACGAGATATTTCCACGGGTTCGGAGTGGTCATAATTTATTTTCTTATATTTTCAAAATATCTTGGTGGAGCCACACGCCCACTCTGTGCACTCTGCCCGTAGCGATGTTAAAAACTAAATGAAAATTTTAATTTAATTTAATTATCATTGGAACTACGCTAAACCAAGTTCAAAAAGTTCGTTAAAAAATATCGAATACGTTTATTATTAACTGATTTACTAATTTGCCAGTAAACAACAGTAATAGACTTTTCAAAAGTTTTGAGTAAATATACTATGTACTAATGTTTTTTCTTATTACTTATTTTTCGCTTGTCTTTAGTAATCGAGTTTTCGGAAATATTTCCCAAAAATCCCAATAAGATTGACCATCGGATTGCTGTTTTTAGGAGTATGTTCCGCGTTACCTTAGTCACAAATCTCTATTTACCAAATGATCGTAAATATGAAGCCTAAAGAGAGCAGTGCTCTCCCGCCCTCAATTCTGTCAATGACCTAGAATTTTAAAAACTTGAAGTATTTATATAAAGTTCTTCCTAACGTATTTGAATATTTCTTGCAAGAGATTTTTCTTTATAAACTTATACATTACCAAGCCTGAGACTCTCTTGACACGATCAAGATACCCAACTTAAAATATTTATATAAAGTTTTTTTAAATTAAAATATTAATATAATAGTAATAAAGAACTTATAATTTTGATTTTCTGTTTGCAAATAAATTTTGAAAAATTGTGATTATTTAAATGACAATTTATTTACTTAAATTTATGAAAACATACAAAGAAAATATTTGGACTTTTTATTTGTGCAAAACTTTGCTTACTTTTGGCACACTTCCACACTTCTGCATCGATTTTTCACCCTTCTTTTTAGCCAAATTTTCACTATACTCGAAGATGTCGCTGCCATTCATATTTAGTCAGTTCAGTCCAGTCCATCGTGTATTTTAGTCAGCGGAAAAACTCTACGTATACACCACACGAAAGTAAGTGGTTTTTAAATCCACATTTTACATATTTTCCATTAGTTTTGCAATTCAAAAATATAAGAAAGAGCAAATCTAATATTTGAGCAATAATTTCGTAATAAATTCATGTGGAATAATCTATTTCTTTTCGGCGTTGAGTAAAATGAAAATTTTGTAATTTCCAACAAGTAGAAAATATGTGAAAATTGCAAATGCCAAATGGTGAAAAATCGAATTTTCCTTTGGCTCAGTGCTCAAATTTAAGAGAGCCAAAGAGTGAGCTATTGCCTGACAGCCAGGTTGGGGAGAGAGTGTTGAATGCAGTGGAGCATGCTGCGTACACTTTCGCTGTTAATATATTTGTTGTGTACATGTGGGAGTGCAGGGGGTAGTGGTAATGCTTTGGCCTAATAATAATGACTTTTTAAAAATGCGAAAATACAATTAAGTACAAATAGGTCTATTTGAATTTATTATTTCGAATCTTTAATGGACGTCTGAAGTGCTTTTTAGTTTTAAAATTTAATGTTTCTCACAACAAAAATAAGTCAGCGAACAGTGTACTTGAGGATATTGGAAAATCGATATGAAAATATTACTCAATCACGAATGAAAGATGAAGCTGATGTGATAAGGCTTTTCATTCAAATGCTTTGATTGTTATTATTTTTTAGATTCTATAAAACAATGTCGACTTTGAAGTGCTACCAAGACGAGGAGCGCGAGTCTCAATATGGCCGCGTTTATGCCGTTTCCGGTCCCGGTGAGTAATTGCATGTACCAACCACTATGATTGTTGTTGTGAGTTTTTTGTTTTTAGAAATTGAAGCTTTAAAAATGTACCGTAATTGAATTAAAGTGTTCTGTTCACTATATGTTAAACATTAAATTCAATAATTAAAATTTTTATGATATATTTAATTCATTTTAATTGATTTATTTTTTATATGTACATCTATAACCGTTGTAATTTGATTTTCTTTAGTTGTTACCGCCGAACGTATGTCTGGCTCTGCTATGTACGAGTTGGTGCGTGTAGGTTACTACGAATTGGTCGGTGAGATCATTCGCTTGGAGGGCGATATGGCCACTATACAGGTGTATGAAGAAACTTCCGGTGTAACTGTTGGTGATCCAGTCTTGCGTACTGGCAAACCTTTGTCTGTTGAATTGGGTCCCGGTATTTTGGGCAGTATTTTCGACGGTATCCAACGTCCGCTTAAGGACATTGGCGAAAGTAGCGGCTCAATTTATATACCAAAAGGTGTAAATATACCCTCGCTCTCACGCACTGAAGCTTGGGAATTCAATCCGACAAATGTGCGTGTCGGTTCACACATTACTGGCGGTGATCTGTATGGCATTGTGCAGGAGAATACACTTGTGAAACATCGTCTAATAGTTGGCCCACGTTGCAAGGGTACAGTTCGTTACATTGCACCACCCGGTAACTATACTGTGGAGGATGTGATTTTGGAGACGGAGTTCGATGGTGAAATCACCAAGCACACAATGTTGCAAGTGTGGCCGGTGCGCCAGCCACGTCCTGTTACGGAGAAGCTGCCCGCAAATCATCCGCTGTTTACTGGCCAACGTGTTTTAGATTCGCTTTTCCCCTGTGTACAAGGTGGTACCACCGCCATTCCCGGAGCTTTCGGTTGTGGCAAAACTGTCATCTCACAGGTATGTGTTACGATTTGTCGGTTATGACATTCAGAAAAATATTAATAAATATTGCTTCCAGGCACTCTCCAAATATTCCAACTCCGATGTGATTATTTATGTCGGTTGCGGGGAACGTGGTAACGAGATGTCTGAGGTACTTCGTGATTTCCCCGAACTTACTTGCGAAATCGATGGTGTTGTAGAATCTATTATGAAGCGTACTGCACTGGTTGCCAACACCTCCAACATGCCTGTCGCTGCGCGTGAAGCCTCCATTTATACCGGTATTACGCTCTCCGAATATTTCCGTGATATGGGTTACAATGTTGCTATGATGGCTGATTCAACTTCACGTTGGGCTGAGGCTCTACGTGAAATCTCCGGTCGTTTGGCTGAAATGCCTGCCGATTCTGGTTATCCAGCGTACTTGGGTGCACGTCTCGCCTCCTTCTACGAGCGTGCTGGTCGCGTTAAATGTTTGGGTAACCCTGAACGTGAGGGTTCCGTCTCCATTGTCGGTGCTGTATCACCACCTGGTGGTGATTTCTCAGATCCTGTCACCTCCGCCACTTTGGGTATCGTACAAGTGTTCTGGGGTTTGGATAAGAAACTAGCACAGCGTAAACATTTCCCTTCAATCAATTGGTTGATTTCATACTCGAAATATATGCGTGCACTGGATGAATATTACGACAAGAATTTCCCAGAATTTGTACCACTACGTACAAAGGTCAAAGAGATTTTGCAAGAGGAAGAGGATTTATCGGAAATTGTACAGTTGGTTGGCAAGGCTTCGTTGGCGGAAACAGACAAAATTACATTGGAGGTGGCGAAATTGGTCAAAGATGACTTTCTACAACAGAACTCGTATTCGCCATACGATCGCGTGTGCCCATTTTACAAAACTGTGGGCATGTTGAGAAATATGTTGGCATTTTATGAGCTCGCCCGCCACGCCGTTGAATCCACTGCCCAGTCAGATAATAAGATCACATGGAATACCATACGCGATGCTATGGGCAACATCCTCTACCAGCTATCTTCAATGAAATTCAAGGTAAACCATTTAATTTAAACCTTCTTCTTAATAATTACACCCAACTGTGTTGAGTGTACGGCTTAAACGAATTTTAAAAATACTGAGGCACAGTACAGCTTTCTGTCCAGTGTCCGCTTTTGTGGAAAACCTTTTCAGTTTTTAATCACACTCATTTTCCATTAATATTCCCAGGATCCAGTCAAAGATGGTGAAGCGAAAATTAAAGCGGACTACGAGCAACTTCACGAAGATTTGCAGCAAGCTTTTCGAAATCTAGAAGACTAAGTCTAAGTCTAGAGGCTCTGCGCGGCACAAAAACTAACACATCCAAAGCCAAGTAATATAAAATTAAAGAATTTCGGTTTAAGCAAACCATCGAAATATTTTCGTTTATCCATATTTATAAGTATAACCGTTATATTTCAAGCTAGTCATTTCAACTAGTCATTTACATAACTACGTGTTAACGTAATATTTATGAAAGTAAAAAAAAATAATAAACTTAGGATCAGTTTAAAAACAAAATATACAAACATAGTATTGACCCTTAATTTACCTCTTAATGTCCTATAAGCAAGAGTTATTATTGTATATCTTAAACAGCATAATGGAAATGAATGAATGGTGAGACTACACCAACTTTTTGGGAACAAATCACCTATTGAAAGACGAACAATAACTAGTGGCTAATGAATAACAAATGTATAAGCAAACGAACCAAAGAAAATTCAACTACAATACAACAAAACAAATAACTACTATATGTATGTACATTATATGATTAGAAAATAATTGTGCGAAAGAATTTAAGTAAATTATTCAAAAAAATATTTAACTGCATTGTTACAATTTAAAAAGAGTTTGGCTGAAAATTTAAAAACAAAAAATACAAAGTATTCATATATTTATGTGCGTTTAATACTGAAATATCACTGTTATTAAGTCAAGATAAATATCTTTGAAATTTTTTTGTTTGTTTGTGTATTGGTTGTTATACATATGTAAATACTTATATCTTCGCTGGTCTTACGAATCGTCATTTGAATATTTTAATATATAAACAATATAATTTGTTTTCCGCTTAATTGTTTTAGGTTATTTATTTATTGTAAAGTAAAACAGTTTACATAGAATTTATTAAAAATATCTATGCATATGTATTATCCATGTTATTAAATAAAAAACAATAACAGAAGTTACAAAACTGTTTTTTTTTAATTCTAGATTCAATGAAGAATGCTTATTCTGGATATTTCTTTGGTTTCATAGTCGAAATTATATAGATTTAAGATCTAAAAAGCCCCTACCAGCGTTCCATGCAACATTTTCTGCAAAGGCTTCAACGTGATTAAGGTTAGGCTTCCGTATTTCAACATAAAAAAATCTTTTTTTTTTTGTTTGCTAGACTTAAGATAAATCTTCTTCAAATCATGACATTGATGAAGTAATAACCACTGCTGGGTTTGGCGAAAAAAAAACTTAAAAAAAATCAAAAATGGACTGAAACGGAATCACCCGCTATTCTTTGTTTATAAATTTCTATTCAAATTTTTCTGTGGATTTCTGTTTGTAATATAATATATCATCATTTAAAAGAATTCATTAAAATTTTTAACCATATGTTAAATAAATATCTGACATACTTATCAAAGAACGTATTTGAAGGTATAAGTATATACGTTCTTTGTTTGTACCTACTCATGCTTTCCAATTTCATAGCTTCCATTGAATGAGTTATGAGTTGGAAAGTCTATTTATTGAAATTCTAAGCAAATGGATTTTTAACATTAACGATTTCTAATTGTAAAAGATTTAAAGATTGGACTAGCTGTCTGATTCCAACGCAGTGACTGTAATATTAACTGCTGTGCATGCAGTGCACCCTGTAGATCAGCTGTTTGCTCTGCATTGACGTGTCTGAAATGACAACAGAGATTGTAGATTCATTGAAGCCGTGTTTTGTATTTCAAAGGAAACTATTTGGTAAATTATAAATTAAATACTTTAAATAACACCGTAGGAGTAAATGAAATCTTCACAGTGTTAACATCAGAACTACTTTTGTAAAATTAGTATGTGTGTATAATAAAATTTTGCTTATGTACCACCAACTAGTTGGGCTACGCTTGATTAACAGTTTTTCTTTTTTTCATACGCTACAAACAAAAATATAAAGTTATTTGCAACGTTTAATAAACATAATTTTCTTATATTTTGATTATAAGCAAAATGGCTTATAACAACACCGCTGGAGCAAATGATTTTTATGCCGGCCCTACCGAACAGTCGTTCAATTTTGAAGTGCCCGAGTTTGGACAAGAACTGTATGTACATGTTTATATTAACTTAAAAAAATACAAAAATTTATTTGGAAAATTATTTTCAGAGATTTTCAAAACTTCGATAGCACACAAGCTGATGTACCACCAAACTATGATGCTAGCTATGGTGGCAGCAATCAAGGTCTAAGTGGTTTCTATGACCCCAATGCATATGTAAATCAAACATACGACCAAGATTCTGGCTTTAAGCCCGGTGGGACAGGAAATGAGTTCGATGACGAGCCACCATTGTTGGAAGGTATAAACATTTTGCTAGGTTTAACATATTTCCAATGTTAATTTATGTGCATTTTTTTCAGAATTGGGCATAAACCCGAATCACATCTTTCTCAAGGTAGGTGGTAGAGTTTAAGTTTATACATATCTAGAGAGTAAGAAGTCATGACTCTAGTATTGATTAAATAAAAAGTTATTAACTAACTTTGTATGTTAGCTCTGTTTGGTGTGAAATGTCAGTAAGAATTAGCCGGTAACGAAATGTCACAAAAGCGCTTCCTCGGTGGAATATTGGGTCGTTTATTGTTCTTAAATATGTGTTAATATAATTCTTCGTGTCGTGTCCTCTCTAAATATTAGGAATAGATTTTACTCCTCTACTATTTGGATTATTCTGCGAAAGTAATGGAAGAGTTCATAAGGAAAATAAGCAATATAATATTTTTATGAAGCGTTTTCATAGTTTAATTAAAAATTGCAATATTTTTTTGTTTTTATAACGATAAACCATAAAATAGAGTAATTGTAATTTCTCTACAAATATATTTTTCTTTTCCTATATTAATTTTCTTCTTAAACAACTTTTTCTGATTTCTTTTTTTTAGTTTCAATGTGATTTCCACTTTATTTATTACATTCACATTTGTTCACATTCATTTTCATTTTTTTTAATTAAATCCCATGTTTCAGTCGCAATTTACACTCCATTTTTATATTACGCTTTGCGAAATTTATTACCTGCAAGTTAATTGAAAAGCAGAAAGGGCTAATGAGTTGGTGAGAAATACTAATAAAATTACTTCAGTGGATGGCCATTCGACCGTTAATTATGTTTTACGTAATCCACACACGCACACAAACATACATAAATACCTTTAACTGCTTTTGCTCTTTCGATGATTCACATTTTTAATTAAACTTGTGTAATTCTTAAAATTTTAGAATACTAACAACAATAATCTCTAACTTCTCAAGTCATAATAAAATGTGAAGATTTCTTTGTGGTGTTAAAAATTTGCTAATAACTGTACGCAAATTGTAAAAACAACAGATATTAAAATTTCGTTATTAAAAATATTTATATAACAAATAAAATTAAAAGTTTGTAGCAAAAGTTTATTGTTTTTGTGGTTTGAATGACAAAAACTTATTACAGTAAAGCGTAAAATGAAAGTGTCCACGTAATAAATATTTAAAATATTTGAACAACATTCAATTTCGATATAAAAATGTATTTACACTTGTGTGAAGTTTATTTCGAAAAATTTATATTTTAAATATTTTCTATAAAATATATATGTACATATGTATATGCACATATACTATTTTTTACTCTTCCACATTTACTATTATACTATTATACGTTGTATACTTTCTTTGGCGATGTAGTGTATTAAATTCATAACTGTGCTAAATTCGTTTTGAAAAAATCATAGCGCACGTAAATCATAAAAAAGCGCAGTTTAAGGACATAAAAAACCAAGCTTTTTCCCTGACAAATTGTATGTATCTAAATGAATGCATATAAAGTTGTACAGCAACAAAAACAATCATTTATGTTTGCACTAGATTGTAAAATAATTGAAAATTTATTTCATTCGCTGTATTTGCATGTCGGCTTTTGCTCACTAACGAAAAACTAAAACAGGAAATAAAATGCGAATAAAAATGTGGTTATGTTTAAAAAGCAATAGTTAAAATAATGTTGTAGCTATGTACATATGTACATATACATTTTTTTTTTTGTAAATTGTTGCAACACAATTATTGTTACACCGTGTATACTGGCTTTCAGCCAGACTTCGCCCAACCAGAAAAGTATTTGCTCTCCTACATTGAAACACTCATGTTTCCAACTCACGTCGTTGACAGCTGATGCTTGCACATAGCAGCGTATAACCAGTGTCACAACTAATAATTCCAATCTCCTCGATGAGACTCCACACACACTGCACCGACAATGTGACCGTCAGCAACACCATTTATCATCAATTTTCATTTTTCAAAGTTTGACTAAAAATTTTACAAATACAATATTCTTTACCAACACAGCACAACATACCACAAACATTTGTTATATACACGTGTATATATATATATATATATATATATATATATGTACATAAGCATATAAAAAGTAACAAAGGCAATAATATAAAAGGGCAGTCAGAGGTTCGCTACATCACCAACTGCAACACCACTACCAAAACCCTAACCAAATTCATTTGTTTCGAAATAGAAGCAGCGTGTCCTTTTTACTTGCATATTGCAGCCGTTGTTATTGTTGTTGTCGTCGTGACGATTCGGTCAGCGCTTTGTGGCTATTCTCTTGTATTGTGTGCGTAATGCTTTTTCGACAAGCAAACAACCAAGCATCCCGTTGTTGTTTTGTTAAAGTTTTCATGCTGTTGCACATTGTAACCATTTTATTTCGTTTAAAAATGTTTTTTCTTTTTTTACTTTTATTTTTTTGGTCTATAAAAAAGAGGTGGGTGGGATATTGCACCACTGCCTTTTCCATGAGCGAGAGAGCAACGGTACATGTAAGTTCTGTTGTAAGGCATGCGAGTGGAAAAATTTAAAAAAATATCGCAAATCGAATTTTCACGGTATTTATATAATATATTACGCGTTTATACCCGCTGGAAATTTTAAAAAATTAAAAGCATAATTTTTAAGTAAATTAGGGAATTTTCGGAAAAAATATAAAAGTTTTACAGCTGGACTATTTAATTTTCATAAAAGAAGTAGTGAAGTAAATGTTGTAGAAATGAATTGACCGTTGAAATTGTACCTATCTATGCTATTGTTATTGTTGTTGCTGTAGCGGCTTACTAGCCCCGCGTAGGAACAGGTTAGTTAGTCTAAATCATTGAGGTCATCTAACGGGAGGTCCAGGAAACGTACTGTTTCGACGGGTGGGGATCGGTGGGAGAGGAGGGTTAGATGTGTCGGTTTAGAGGGGCTGGTGAAGAGGTGGTTAGTGTCGTGCGGAGACTCTCCTCATGCAGGGCATACGTTAGGTATATTGGGTTCGTTTCTGGATAGGTAGGAGTTTAACCTGCTGCAGTATCTCGACCTAAGTTGCGCCAGAGTCATGCAGGTCTCTCGAGACAGCTCGAGCTCTTTGTCTGCAATATGTGAGGGTTTTCTCCGAGCACACCATTCAAGGTAATGGAGTCTTTGAAGGTGTTGACTGACTCTTGGTGAATGATGTTCAGTGCTTGTCTGTACGCCGTCCTGCTCATCGTTGTTTCTGGATGGTGTCCTTCATGTGAAGTACTCACTTTCTGATGTGCCTAGGTGGAGATGGAGGTACAGCTTATATAAGATGCCTATTGGAGTGCTCCCTTTGTAGCATCCCAGCAGAAATTTCCTGCACAGCAAAGCATTATTCTTCTTAACATGTAGTGTAGATACTCATCTACATCGGCCGGCCATTTGCCGGTTTTCTCCCCAGGTGCTGATGTCTAACGCTTTGAGGATTTTGTTGCGTCTCTGGTGTTTTGTGGCAATTGCGGTCTTATGAGAAGATAAGGGGTGCAGGCTGTCAAATTTGACTCCTAGTAACTTTGGGTTGTTTATAGTTGGAGTTTTGATGCTATCGGGACTGTAATCTTCATTGTCTTGTGGTGAGGAAGTGGGAGAGGTTGTCAAAATTGCAGTTTACCTTCATACATATTGTAAATCATCAATATACTGTAGACGTCAATACTAAGAACAGGAAAACCCCTTCTCGTGGAGGAGAAAGCTGCGAGATGTAGTAGCTAAACACATGTCACCCTTTCGGCGACCTAACCCATCTCCAGGATATAAAAGTAGTGGAATACTCTAAGCATATCAACCAAAAGTTTAACCAAACCGAGCCAGGACTATGTAAATTTTTTTTTCAAAATAGATCGGTTCATTTCCCGTAAGAACCATAAATACGATACGATTTTTTCGAATAGGTGGATATCTAGTCCAGATCCCGGAATTGTAGTATTTCTGGTAATTCAAGCAATATCCACCTAGGTAATGAATTTCCATGAAAAATGAATATATCCGTCCCTGGTCCACTTCTGGAAAATTATTTTCGCACAAATCGCAATCTGCTGGGCAATTTTGGGGATCACATAAAGCAAACAAACAAACAAATGTTTTTATGTATTTATATAGATTATTCAAAGAAAGTTTTGCTTACAGTTAATTTAATTATATACATTTACAGGGTTATCCATTTTGCGGTTTTGAAAATTAAAATGCATTTAATATAGTTTTTTTTTATGAATTATTTTTTCCTTCATTTTTATTATAAAGTTTGAACCTTGACATTATATGTGAAACATTACATGGTTCAAATAACCCCCACGAGAATTTTTGCAAACTTCGATCCGTTTGGAGGAAGTTTCGACCACATTTTGACACATCTTGGGCAGTATCGCAGCCATTACATGACAGATATTGGTTCTCAAAAGCTCAAAAGTTAAGCGTTTCTCCGCTTAAAAAAAGCTTTCCTCATTAAAAAATGTCGACGGTGTTAAATCGCACAATTGGATGGCTAACCGCAATAAAGCCAAAAAAAGGCAAACTAAAGTCGGTTATCATACGACCATAAAGCTCTGAATTGATAGTGACAATTTTGCCGTTGTCGTTTTCAAAAAATAAGGTCCGATCCCACCTTCGGGCGAAAAAGCGATACAGGCAGTAAGTTTTTCATTTTGGCTGTAATGGAAATGTTAATCCCTCCGAGAGTATTTTTAACATGAAATAAAAAGGTGATTTAAATGTGGCCACGCTCGGTGCTGGAAAAAAATTTGTATAGACTGTCTCGGTTATTTTCCACGCAGATGCTATAAAATTGAATACACTTATGGATCTATTAAAATATTTGTTTCAAACCGTTTTTCATAGGCAACAAAATAGTAAGTAAGAGAAAGGATTGGTTAGAGAGATGAATAATATGGAAAGTATAGGCTTTAAGACTTTCTCAATTATATGCCAAAAGTCCGTGGCTTGGGGTTCTGGTCATAGGGACACCTAGGAAACTGTGGAGTCGATAGCATTAACCATTTTCTCGGATTAGCCTGCATGTCTAGGCATCATAAATCTCATGGACTTCGTAAAGTACACCAACTGGTTTGAGCATGTAAAAAGGTTAGAGGAATCTGCTTCATAGAATCAACATAGGTATCGTCAAGAGATCAGGGTGGCGTGATCGAACAAGCTGTTTAACCAACTAACTAACTGACTAATATCAATATATTTGGCGTTTCGTTCGAATTTAAAAGGGTTTGTAAGTTTAATCAACTTCAAGCGCAATTATGAAATTTTTTTAATGAATTTGCACTACTCTAAAAAATCAATAATTATTAAAATAATATCCTGTTTGCTTGCAAAATTTCCTTAAAACATCTCTAAAACTGGGAACTTAATTGGCTTTCAAACACTTAAATAGCAAATCCAGCCAGCTCCTCATCTTTTTAAATTCGATTTAAATTTTGGTGGGCGAATCTCTTCCCTTTCTGATACTTTTCCACAATTTAATAAATTTGAATACAAAAATCATGAAGTCCACTATCGGGGGTTCGAAAATATATGATTTTTGAATATTTGAGCATTAAAAATATATAAACATTTTCCTCTAATTTTTTATTTAAATTCTGTAGGTTTTTTTTAAGAGAAGAGAGTAGCGGAAAAGAGCCGAAACACGTTTAATGTCAGATAGCTATGAAGCCGACGGCGAAGTGAGAATGAAACTGCAAACCTTTAAGTAATTGTATCATGGATTTATCCATTGAATTATTAAATTATTTTATCACTAATTTTTAAAATATTTTTCTTTTTTTTTATTACTAAATAATTAACTGCAAGCATTTTTCTCTTTTCCCTTTTCAGACATTGGCTGTGCTAAATCCTTTGCGCGCAACGGATCAGATGATCCTTCAGGACACTGACATGGCCGGTCCATTGGTCTTTTGCTTAGCTTTGGGTGGCTTTCTTTTGCTGGTATGTGTGCTTACGCTATACAATTTTTTGTTGGTGTTTGTTTGCATTCTTTTTTTACAAAACTCATAATTACAATAATCTCCTCCCACTTGCTCAACTGCCATTCCTACGTGCCGCTGAACGAGTATTGAGACATTGTAATTGTAATAGCAACAATAAACATTGAAAAATAATGCAAACGTACAACAATAATACCAAATGTAAACATTTAAATATTTGCATGAAAATTTTTAATTGAAAAACTTTTCGATATTCTCTTTTTTCCGGTGCCGCAACGCTATCCGCCTCCAACTCTTCGACCACAAAAAATTGAATGAATGCATTTACGAATGGACACCAACAATAATGTGATGGCGGCGATGTTACTATCAACAAACTAACCAACCGAATAACGAACCGTATGCCTCTGCCACCTGGCTGTTTGCACACTCAAAATCATCATCCAACAACCGCCAACCCGAACTCAAAATGAACCAACAAAACCAAACTGCTGCTTCATAACGCTTGTTGGTGTTGTCTATCACTATGGTGAACGCATGGTGTTGGCGATTGTTCACATTGCTGCTATGGCCATTTGCAGAGTGGCAAAGTAACATTCTCATATATTTACGGCATCGGTGTGATGGGATGTATCGCCTTCTATTGTCTGCTGTCGCTGATGGCAACACAGGCGCAAGTAACCTTCGGCGCTGTGGTTTCTGTGCTCGGTTATTGTTTGTTACCCATGGTGGTGTTGTCCGGCATTAACGTTTTAATCACCATACAGTGAGTATACACCCATACACATTCATACACAGCCCGATTGCGTACTAACAAACATTTGTATCAACGGGCGCCATACTTGCGTGCCTCTCCGCGGGTTTCTCTGTGGCGCAATACAATACAATACAATAGTTTTTATAATTTTCATCGTTTTCATCAGCGCGCTTTTCCATTGTGCTCTTTAATTGTTATTGTTGCAGTTTTTGTATCATATTTTTTGTATTTTTTTTGTTCATATCCTTTTTCATTTGTTTACCAATGATTGCTGATGGCTGGCAAAACAATGCAAAAAATAAAGTAACACAAATATGGCATACAATTTGCTCGCAACGGTGCAAACAGAAAATGCAATACTTCTTCATCAACTTCCGCGGTTAATTGAAAAATTTCATAATATAAACTTGTGCGTGTATGCGTATGTACAAATATATATATGTATGTATTATATATTTATATGGCCGGATATTGGGAAAAAAACATATCAATTCATTTCAAGTGGAGATAAAGTTAAAATTAATTACGTTACTTTGCGTTAGCTTAAAGCTTGAGAGTGTGAGTCGTAGGATTGCGAAAGATTAAGATTTGAGTTGCCACAAAAAAGTTTTGGAGCTTAGTCGGTTAACTTAAAATATTTCAGGGAATATGTGATAACGTCCTTTCCTTGCTGAGATAAGCATTCCTTGGAAGGAACAGGTGAAGAAAGATCTGGCTATACTTGGTGTCTCAGATTGGCGTCCATCCGTGAGGATAAGAAGGGTTCAACATGTTTTTGTTGCTTTGGCTATAATTGTTTAAGCCTTGTAAAGGACAAATAAAAAGAAGGATATTCGAAAAAAAAAACGCGAGCTATTTCAGCCGCTAACCACACGGCGGCCCCCGATAGTAAGCGAAATCAAACCATCCCACCAAAGTTCTCAATTTGTCTTTGACTGTTTTAATTACTTCCTGCGGCGCTATAGTTACTCGATCCCATACTAGATTTCTGGAAAGTGCATAGTACCGGACTACGCATTATGAGCATTCTGATACAATAAATCGCTGAGTCAATCAAAATCGAGCCAAGACTCACTGCTACTCACAGACCTGGAGAGCTTGTCATTAACTTCTTCTTCATTGGCGGGGACACCACTTAGTCGGTTATAGTCGAATCAATAACAGCGCGCCATTCGTTTCGCTGTTTGGCACCAGGTCAATCTTCCTCCACCGGCAGCTACTGCATATAAGACTGTCAACTTTATTTCCCTCGTCTCGCAAAACTATTCTCTCGAAGACTCCCCTGGCCGACTAATCGGATGTCGATATCGTCCAGGCTTCTGTACCATATAATAGACCGGGAATGATGAGGGACTTGTAAAGTTTGGTTTTGGTTCGTCGAGAGAGAATTTTAGGTGATTGTAACTTAGTCCAAAGTAGCAAAGTGGCCAGGGGCTTTGTGTGTTGATGGGGTCGTGTGTATAAGTTCACATAAGTGAGGAAAGTTTTTGACTGTCATTCACCTGGCTTGGCAAGAAACGATTTTGTTACTTATGGTTCAAGCAGTCCATGATTTCGGGTCGTAGCCCAAGGGGTTTTTAGATAGCCAAAACATTAAAAAGAGAAGGCGAAAGAAAAATCAAATCCAAAGGAAAAATTACTAAAGCCTCGTATGAGAAACCCCCATTTTGTTGTGTTCGTTTGAAGGATCACGATTTGAGAGCATGCGTCTAGAATGTCCGGATTCTTAATTGGGAAAGTACTGCTGTCCAGCTGGTTGATGTTCTAATAAGCATTGAAGTTTAGGCAAGATAGTATACTCTCCCACATGTCTATGATTTATATCTTTGTGAGGCTCTATGAACTCATTTGTCGATGATCGTTCGATCTTGACGTTTGCTCAGAATATCGATGACCTACATACGTGTACGTAAGTACTAAGGTAAATAGCTACCTCTCCTATTTATATTAATTACTGTCAGGAACCGCTGATCCGAAATCCACCGCTTACATTTTTTTAACCGCTACACGAGTTACGGTTATATCTGAATGTCAACGGAGTGATATAAAAGTTGTATGATTTCAGACAATCTACGACCGCGATTGTCCATATGGCCCAGTATATTTTTCTCATCCAGAAACCCTGATAGAACTGCTAGACGAGGTCTTAAACGCCATTAACTCATCCAAATAAACAATTTTCTAAACTGTTGCATCGCTAATGCCAACTTTCCTTCCATCCATCCCAAAACCACCGATTGGAGCTGCCTCCAATCGAAATTTGTAAGTTTTGGCAGTCAACTCTCGTATATAACGTAACTCCATGCAAGAACCTATTTTCCAACAATTTTTTTTGTTTGTTTATCGCGATGAGAGTACGTAAGAGACGCACTATTTGAAAACTATCTATTTTTTTGAGCTTGAATAATGCAGCAATAAAAATGTCCTTAGCTTATCAAGAGCTATCTAAATTTTCAACTATCAACACCACCAACTGCCACAGCTAAAAAGCAAACAAAAAATTTGTAAATTTATACAGACTAGTTTATTGGCCCGCACTCCATTAAAAAATGCGCTTTTCCATTTTTCCTGTTGGCAATTTCTCCAATCAATTTCCCGTCGAAGCAGCACTCACAGGGGCAGTGGAAGCGGCTACGTACGATATACTATTGGGCGTCAGATTGTCTCAGTGCTTTTAAATTTCAACAGACGCGTTTAATTGATACAACACAAGCGGCGAACTCTTCACAATTCCGTCTGTCCTCTCTTGCTGTGTTCACTACCATTTTTATTTCAAATTTTTCTACATGTGGCCTTTGTTGTTATTGGTGTTGGCTTATACGTGCGAATTTTTAGACAGCCGGCTAGCTCGTTCGCTTGTGTGCTTGCTTGCTTTGTTGCCGACTGCGAATGTGCCTCTGGTGTAAAGTCAATAAAATAGTACGGCATGTCCATGAGATCCCGGCGCACGCTATGTCCTGCGTAATTTAGCCAAATAGCCGCCCACTTGTGCTGCATGCTCGCGCTGCGCACACTTTAGAACGCACATTGAGGTTCATCTATTGGCCGGAATACTTGTAATACGCCGTTTTTGGTTTTTGTTTTTTAATTTCTGAACACTTGCTATCGAGTGCAGTTTTTATGAGTCAATTTTCCTTTTTTGTTGTTGCTGTTTTTTTTTGTTGTTGAAATTTTTATGCTTTTGTAATTTTATTTACTCCAGGAACTTTTCAGCGCCAAGGCAATCTGCAACACTACCAGCGCCACCACCATCAAACACAACCAAACACGCAGCGCCAATACTCGTAGTAGCGATATCCAATGCCAAATGTTTGCATCAACCCATTTCGTTTGGTCTTGCAATCGTTGTTTTTACGACTGTAACTAACGCATTCCGTAAATATAGTTAAGCTTGTATGTTTGTGTGTTTGTCTGTTTGTTCTTTGCAGTCTAGCAAGTGCTCTAGCAGTTTCTATGGTCACTCTGTACGCCATATTCACTGCATTACACTCTGAACGCTCATAATTTTTTGGTTCATTCAAATGAAAAAGTCTGTTTGGTGTTTCTGAACTTTTTTTTTAGTTCGCAATTTTCCAAAGGGTCGCTTGTTTCTCTTTCAATTTGAGTTCGCACCGACTTTTGGTGTTAATTTAGAGTGAAATGTTTTAATTATTCAAACATTTTTTGGTAGTTTTCAAACGGCGCATTTGGAGATTAGTTGAAAATGTTTGGAAATTCGGTAAGGGCGGTAAAAAATTAGATATGTTGGGATGAGAAGTGTTGCAGTGCGCCTTTGGTTGTCTTGATTGGGGAACGGAGGCACCGATATTATGGCTAAAGATTTATAAATTTCAATGCCTTTGAGATTTATCTATGAATGTTGCGAACAACAACTTACACTGACTTTGTGGGCAACATTGTGTCCCAATCAGTTGACAGCTCAAAATGCATCGCATTCAACCGAAGCTCTTCATACTATTGATCCTCCTATATAACTTTATCATGTAAAAGCTTATCATCAGCCGCCTAAATTCTCATTATTTCTTCTTTTTTTTTGGTTTGTCCACCATCAAAAGTTGGGAAAAATATATAAATAATTTTTAATACTTGTATTTTGCTTTATTTTAAATTTTTTAATGCATACTGATTTTTATTATATATGTTTTTTTTTTAATTTCTTATTATTTCTACTTTATTTTATTTTATTTTGGCTTATGTTTTCATCTTATTTATGTTTTTTTTTATACATATTTTTATTTACTTTATTTATATTTTTCATTGCATATATATTTATTGTTTATATTTTTTGTGGTGTTTTTTTTTACTTTACTTCGTTTACTTTCTTTATTTCACTTTTTTTTGGCTTTAGATTTTACATTGTTAATTTAATTTTATTTTTATTGTATTTTGTTTTATAATTTATTCTCTTATATAAATTTTATTTTATTTTATTTTATTTATTTAATTAATTTTAATTTGTTTAATTAATTTTATTTTATTTTAAATTTTATTATATTTATTAATTTTATTAAGCAAACTACGAGGCCTGGTTGCTTGTATGAATTGAATATTTGTTATACAACAAAGAAAAAATGGTAGAAGTGATAGCTGTTTCGGAGATCACCACATCTCCTCATCAGTTTCTTATGGCAGGGATTGAACCATCGGAGCCTGACTTAACAGGCGAGTGTTCTACCACTGCGCCAACATCCGCCATGTAATCTATTGTTTGTATTAGTTTTTATTAAATTTTGTATTCATTTATGTTATTTTATTAATTTTAATTTTATTTTGTTTTGTTTTATTTTATTTTAATTATTTGGTTTATTTTATATTATATTTATTTATTTTAATTTTTATAATTTATAGTATATTTAATTTATTAAATTTAAGTAATTTTTTATTGTATTAATTTATTTTACTTAGCTTTATTTTTAATTATTTATTTTTATTTCTTTAGTTTTTTATTTTACTTAGTTTATTTTCAGGTATTTTATGGTTTTATATTGGGTGTACAACTTAATGCAGTCCATTTTTTATGTTCAGAAAAGTGGTTTTTATTGAAAAATTAAGAAAATACAATGTTCAAAATATTTTCCATAGGAACCGCGTCCTTTTTCCCATCCCTTTGGTAATTTTCGAAAGGAAATGAGTACTCTCTCTCCTCGACCCAATCATTGAGCCATCTTTCGATTTTTAAAAAAGGCCCAAATCGATGAGCGGCCTCACCCATATTACATCTGTCGAAGCTCTGTATAATACGGCGGGTTGGGCAAGGCCTCCCATTTCGGTGTTTCCAGGTAGTTTTTGACCGTTACGGCCTCGGACCGGACATGTCTTTTCATGTATTTGTTGTAGTCGATGACATTTCGCATGAATGGTTTTGGTTGCTCGTGTACTATGTACCCGTCTGATCCCACCAGGACGCTCTCTATCTTCGATGCTAAAATTACCCCTTTTGAAGCATCGAAACCACAACTTCCACAAGCATTCGTTGGGCATCAGCTGCACTTTATTCCAATTGAAAAATGAAATCAAAACTTAACGCAAATGCTGTGTATTTAAAACAACTTCGGATATTTTTGCAGTGGTGAAAATCAGACCTTGACGCACACTAATTATTGTTGAGAGATGAAGTAAGTGATCGCTTCCCACAACGGCAACAACTTGTAGGTGGAACAAACTGAATGAATTTTAACACCCAATATCATACGAATATTATATAATATTTTATTTTATTTTATTTTATTTTATTTAGTTTTCATTCAATTGTTTTTGTTTGCGGGTTGCTTGTTGTTATAATTGAGTGATCTTAGAACTGATCTATCCAAGGATTCTGAGAAATTATTAAACTGAATAAAAGACAACAGAGTTTCGATATTCACATATCCACATCAGATCGCTTGTGGCGTAGGTTAAACCGCCATCATTAATTTTTCCTAACCATTAACTGCAAAGTGCAGCAATAAATTTATTTTATTTTGTTTTATCTTGGGTGTTTTTTTTTTTAATTAATTTTTTCCAAATGTTCTTTATTTTTTCAGGGGCACTCTTGGACTGATTGTCGCTGGTGTGGCGATACTCTGGTGTGCAATGTCTGCATCGAAACTCTTCGTCACGGCCTACTCGATGGATCATCAACAAGTGCTAATTGCGTATCCGTGTGCTCTGTTGTACGGCGTGTTTGCTCTCATTACGATTTTTTAAATATAAAATATTTAACCAAATATATTAAAATATTGGCCTAATAACATTCTACGTGTAGATAACAATGATAATAATGATAAAGTGAATCTGATGAGTTAATGTGCGATAAACAAAAATTATATTCTTATTGAAATGATATTTTATAATAAAAGATAAAAGATTATTAAAAATAATAACTATGGCAGAAATAAGTCTGGTATGCACGAGGTGTGTTCAAAAAATATTGCGAAATTTGTGTTTTTTCAAAAATTATTTATTTATTCATGAATATCTATTTTGTTCCCTTCAAAGTAATTCCCATGAGCTATTATACACGTGTGCCAACGGTTTTTCCAATCTTCGAAGCACTTCAAAAAATCATTTTTTTATCTTGTTCAGCTCCTCCTTCAATGCCGTCTTTATCTCGTCAATCGTAGCGTAACGTCGTCCTTTCATGGGCCTCTTCAGTTTAGGGAACAAGTCACAGGGGGCTAGATCTGAGGAATACGTAGGCTGCGGCATCATTAGTGTGTTGTTTTTGTCCAAAAAGTCGCGCACAAGCAATGAGGTGTGAGCAAGGACGTTATCGTGGTGCAAAAGCCAATTTTTGTTCTTCCAAAAATCCGGGCGTTTCTGGCGGATTGCTTCGCGCAAATTGCGCATAACTTGCAGGTAATATTCCTTATTGACCGTTCTACCCTGTTGTGGCAAGAACTCATGATTCACCACGCCCCTGCAATCGAAGAAAACTATCAGCAAAATTTTCATTAAAAATGCAAGCAAATCAGCTGTCAAGAATTAAGTGAACATTAAAAATGGCCGAGCTTGTCGGCATAAGTGACAGACATGAGTACCAACATAAGGACCCAAAAAAATCGAAATTCGATTATACGTAACCCGCGAAAATTCAAAATTCGCGATACTTTTTGAACACATCTCGTATATGTACATAGAAAGTATAATATGTATTGCCTAGCTAATATATAAATACATATTATATATGTAAGTACATACACACTTTTTGAAATTTAAGTTAAAGCATTCTTTAGCAAACGAAAATCAATTCTATACTTTTATTGATAATGCTTTGTGCATGGAAAAAACGGACCAACCCCAATTATTTCCATCTGTATTTCGTACATTGGGGTAGGTCGATTTTTTCCATATAATCGCACATGCATTTACACTTCACCTTATTATTTATATAAAAATTTTTTAAATTCTCGATATTAGGCTTAGAGTCGTAACTTCTCACGCAAAGTTGCTGGGAATAATCAGCAGACCGATTTCCCGATTTCCCGATTTGCTTTCCATTGCATTCGAACTGCTCTATTATACATTTGTTTTACATGTGTACATACATACACGTATGCATATATGTACGAGTATGTACAATAATTATTCCAGCAGGTTTGTAGTTCTGTTCGTATATAAACATGTTTATTTCTTTCTTTTTTCGCTTCAATTATTTGATTTTTTTTTTCGTTTTCCATTCGATCCCTTGCTTTCACTTTTTTTGCGATTCGTTCAATTGGAAATGTTGGTTAATTGAGTTTTTTGCTTCCTGTATTTTTTAATTTAGATTTTCTTATTTTTAGATTTCCCTCCATGGTTGAATGAATGCTGCTGTTTTGTGTTCTTTTTTTAATTTTAACTGTCATTCGTTTGCAATGCTTTTTTTTCACTTGTTTTAGTTGGAACTGCAACCGATTTTTCTTTTTTTTATCTTCTGCCTGACACAATTCAGTATTAGCTCGTATTAGCTTTTTAGGAGAAAGCGCTGAACGTAAGAACAATTAGATACTGGAATGAAAATTTAGTTGCTGCTGAAAATTAAATTTTTAAATTTTTGCTCCAGAGTACAGCGGTCTGATTTATAGAAAGCTGCAATTGACGATCAATTTATAATTATGTTACTGAGAGAACGAGATAATGTCTCACAGATTTCCTATAACTGGTTGTTAATGAGTGCTCCTCAAGAGAAGGATTTGAGTCGACCGAAAACAAAATGATTTGATATAATCAGTGCAGCTTTAGACAAGGAAAATCTAACATATTTACCATGGGTCGAATCTGGGATAAGACCCATGTGCTCCATACGAATCACCTTTTATCGATTTTACAACTGACAGCATGATAAGTAGCTGCCTCTACCCCGTTATGTCTGAATTTGGTATCCCCACTAAACTTATACAGAAGCGCAACCAGAATTGGAAGCACCTTTCCGAACCAACTGGTCGCAAAGCAGATTTCATACATGGTGATTATATTTGTGTGGTTTCTTGAGTTGCTGGACGCCGATATGATATCATTGGTATCAATAACCACGCACTGAGTTCGTGAATCAAGCGAAGCCTATGGGGCTGGTAGTGAATAAGGGTAGAACGAAATGTCTCCTGTCATCAAACCAATTGTCATCGCATACGCGACTCGTCTCCCACGTCACTGCTGAAAGTCATAACTTCGAGTTCGTAGACTGTTTCATCTATTTTCGAATAATGTGTGCTCTAAAATACTCTTGCCAACTGGTGCTAGTTTGTACTAAGTACACGTAGGCTAGTGTAAAGTGAAGTGTAAAGTCCTTTGCCCACGAATAAAGGCCAAGCTTTACAAATGACTCATCAGCCCGACCTGCTATATGGTGTAGAAGCGTGGACGATGGCAGCTTACGACGAGTCAACGTTAGGAGTTTTCGGGAGAAAAGTTTTGCGAAAGATTTATGGTTCTTTGCGCATTGGCAACGGCGAATATCGCAGACGATGGAACGATGAGCTGTACGAGTTGCATTGCGTCATTGACATAGTTCAGCGAATCAAGGCGGATACGCTGCACATGACCTCGGACGGGGGCGGACGCGAATACTCCAGATTTGAAAGTTTACGATGCAGTACTCACCGGTGGAAGCAGAGGTAGACCTCCACTCCGTTGGATAGACTAGGTATAAAGGATTTGACTGTACTTGGTATTTCCAATTGGTGCTAAGAAAAAAAAAATCGAATGGCGCTGTTGACACGACAGTTGTGCCAGTAAAATAAGTAAGTAAGTTACAGACGGATAGACGGACATGGCATAATTAACTCAGCTCTTCGTTCTAATCTGATCGGTATAATTTTTGATGGGTGTAAGTCTTTCTTTATTTATGGAATGCGACACTTCAGCTTCAAAATTTTCTTTTTTTATATGTACGATATTTTACAAATTTATAATAGTTTTTATACGGTCTCTTGAAGGAGCGCCACAGAGGAACTACAAAAGTACCGCCTGATACCGTTCTTGTTGCACCCTCTGTTATCTGCTCGAAGACATTACTCTTTGCAGCTGTTATTATACTGATAGAACTGAAAACTGACCCTTTCGTGATTTCTTTTTTTTTGCATTGATTAATTGATGGAGATAACGTTTATATTCATACTTGGAAACAACCTCGCGAGAATAGTCTTATGAGAAGTCCAACACAATGCCAACTATCGTATTTTCCGCTTCCTTCGAAGCAGACAACGAAAGAGGAAGAGCTTGCATTTGTTATTCATTTTGGGGAACATTTTGCAGTTTCTGTTTCCATGCCCTTTTTTTTTATTAACATTTTGTCGAATTTATGCATTTTTAATTTTAATCAGTAATTTTTATATCAGTTCCTTTTTGATTTGTATCAGCGTTGACCAGTTTTTACATTAGTTTTGCCTTATATCGAGATCAACGTTGAAGAAAATACTACTGCATACGCGTAAGACATAAACGGCTACTGTACTAAGTTCCATATGTTAGAAAAAGATGACTGATCGCGCAGGTATATTACAATACAAATATTTGCTATTGTTCTGCTCTGTCTCTGTTGAGAAGCTGTCCACTCAGTCAAACGCCGAAATGTTCTTGTAGGGGAGCTAGTTTATGTACACTGTTGAAAAGTGCGTTGATAAGCGAGAGCAGAGTGTAAACAGTGCACATCAAGTTCTTTTTACTAGTTTTCCACTCAGTTGGGGTGTGACAGGCATTGCAAACCAGTCGGTAATATTATAATCCAATAGCCATTGATATGGATTGAAAAGATAATACATAAAAACTTTAAAAATCGTTCATATTATACACAAATATAGGTTTGTGAAGACAAGTGCTTTGATAGTTTTGCGAAAAGTACGTTTGAGTAGCGAAAAACAATGACGAACATTGACCTGCAACGCGAACGTCAAGCCGCTTTAATATCAAGTGAAGATTTCGCCGAGTGGTGGGCGGGCGGACGCGATGCACTGCAAGAGCGCCGAGCTTTGGATAAGCTCTTCACCGAAGATGACGATTTCACAGACCCCCAGCACACGTCGCTAATGTCGCATAAAGAACTTTACGAGTACACACTTGCGAAAGCGTGCAAATTTATAAGTAAACTACGCGATTGGCATGCAGCAAAAGCTTACAATAAAGCCGAAACACAACAAAGTGCAATTGCATCATTATATGATTTTCGTATGTTGTTGGCCGGTCAGCTGGGTACAGCGTTGTTTCAGCAAAGCTTTCCGCTGCGCTTACATTTTTCGATGTTCCTGCCGACGTTGTTAGGACAGGGAACGGAGGAGCAGCAGCGCGAGTGGTTCGAACGCGCTTGGCGCATGGATGGTATTATAGGCACGTATGCGCAAACGGAGCTGGGTCATGGCACATTTATACGAGGTCTAGAGACACGCGCCGACTATGATATGAAAAGTGAGGAGTTCATTTTGAATACACCAAGCTTGAGTGCGTACAAATGGTGGCCTGGTGGTTTGGGTCAAACTGCCAATGTGGCTATTGTCATGGCACAGTTGTATATAAAAGGGAAGCATTATGGCTTACATCCATTTTTGGTGCGCATACGCAATGCGCAGACACATCTGCCGGAACCGGGTGTGGATGTGGGTGAAATTGGTCCAAAACTGGGTTTGAATGGCGTGAATAATGGTTTTCTGGGCTTGAAGGATGTACGCATACCGCGCAAGCAAATGTTGATGAAGAACGCAGAAGTGCGTCCAAATGGACGCTTTGTGAAGGGACCGGAGCCATTGTTGACCTATGGAACGATGGTGTTTGCGCGTGTCATGATCGTGCGTGATGTTTCGTTCGGGCTGCTGCAAGCTGCCACCATTGCTACAAGGTGAGTTGGAGTGGAGGTCAGCTGCCTTTCAACTACCTTTACTTTTTATATACAGATATTCCGCAGTGAGACGGCAGAGTCCCATAGCAGTAGATCAACCTGAGCCACAGATATTGGATCACACAACACAGCAAGCGAAATTATTTCCACAAATCGCAAAGGGCATATTTTTTCGCATTGCGGCCGACGTTGTGTGGCTTATATATCAGAGTGTAGCTAAAGAGCTGGGTGCTGGGCAGCGCCGCAATTTGCCCGAATTGCATGCTTTGTCTTGCTGCCTCAAGGCGTACTGTTCTGCCGAGGCAGAAGAAGCTGTTGAAATTCTACGTAAATCTTGTGGTGGTCACGGTTATTTGCGTTCGTCGAACTTTCCGGAAATTTACGGAGCCGTCACAGCTGCCTGCACCTACGAGGGCGAAAATACGGTGCTGCTATTGCAAACTGCGCGCTTTCTCGTCAAGCAATATGTGGATGGTCTGAAACGGAAAGTTTTACCAAGCAGCGTAACCTATTTGCGCAATGCAACGCCGCCAAAGTGGGGTAAAAGTGTAGAGCTGAAAACTTTGGTGCGTCTCTTGGAGTATGCAGCTACCGAGAGTGTCCGCAGCGCTTTTGAATATCAAAAGAAGCAACGAAAAATCTTCAAATCCGAGCCGATGGTGACCAATAAAGCGGGTATACGCTTGATTCAATCTGCAACGTTGCATGCTCGTGCATTCTTAGCGCGCAACGCATCTGAAGAGGCGGAAAAGCTTCGCCGACAATTAAAACCTGCCTTGGCTGAAGTGCTAGTGCAACTAACCGAAATTTTCGTTTTGGACTTGTGTCTGGCCAGTTTGGGCAATATTTTGCTTTCATTTCCGTTGAACTCACGTCAAGTGGAACAGTTGAAGACTCGCTTTGAGCGCTTGCTCGAGGAGTTTCGCGTCAATGCCGTCACTGTGGTAGACGGTTTCGACTTCAGCGATCGTGTGTTGGGTTCAACATTGGGTTGCTATGATGGACATGTGTATGAGCGTCTGTTGGCCGAGGCATGCCAAAGCCCATTGAACGAGGAACCGGTTAATCAAACATTTCAGACTCATTTGAAACCACTAATGCAAGGGAAATTGTAGAGGGTATTTGTACCCTTTTGAATATGCCATCTTCGCGAGCTTAAAGTTTTTGCTTCGGTATTCAGACTGAAATAATGTAAAATTAAATTTGTATTATTTTTTATTCTTTATTTTTACAAATGTTTTATGTTACAAATATATTCGTGAATTGGTGTTTGGTAATACGCTTTTTGTTGTTGCTCCTCGAAACCTTTTTTTTGTTTTTGAGCCCAGAGAGCATAAATACATTTTTCACCCAGCAAACTATTATTAGGACAGTTTTAGAGGCAGTGTTTGCTGCTAGAGGTACAAATAAACGACCCGTGTCAGGTAAGTGGGGCAATGAAGGTTGCATCGAAGAGAAATAAGTTAAGTTTATTGTATTAATATTGGGTATAGCTGACACTAGCCCTCCTCCCCTACTTTCGTGGTGTGCGTCTTAATGGTTTTTCCACATTGGAGGAAACTGCAGCTCTCACTCCACACACACATCTTAGGCAGGCCAAGAAAGCTGCTTAATTATGCAGATGGCCTCACGAGGATAGCAAACTCAACGACTACTACTCTCTTCTCTGAACTAAGATTGTGACCATTCCTGAAGGCGCTAAATGAGTAACCGCTTTAATAAGGAAATCTACAAGGTTTCTTTTACACAGCCAAGCATCAGCAAAAAGTCTAAGTGTGTGAGAACAATGAGCAAAAACACGATGTACTGGGCAATGAGTTGGCCCGCGATTAGCACCCTTAAAAGCTACATAAAACTGAAGAAATCGCAGCTTCTTTCCAAACTTAGGTCAGATGAGTGCATGCAAATGAACCTTAATCCACAAGAAGTGGAATGCGCCAATAAAGTGTAAAATACTATGTAGAGTGGTTTGCGTAACAGACCGAAAACTGATTGAACCTTATCAGTGTGGCTTTAAATCAGGTAAATTTATCAGTCATCATCATTCACCATGTACCAAGTCTTGTAAAATACCATTGATAGTATGGAAACACACACCACCCCGAGGACGATTGGAAAGCAGCCTTCGACAACTCGAAAAGTATTGAGAAGATATTTAAAAGTAGAGGAGAAGTACAAGCGGTTTCGTAATCTGATGAACGATTCCAGATGCTGTAATACAATTCAGCTAATACGTCGTCCATAGATAGAAAGAGAGAGATTGTGATGAGCGAAGTAGGCGAGTGATTAGCATTGCATAGCAAAAATTACGATATTTTCCACATTTTCTACTTGACAATAGACCACCGAACTCACATACACTTCCTACAATGCTACCAACAACAACCATAAGGCGCTATACTCCATAATCTTCCCATACTTTCCCAACTGCTACTGTCGTTTCTGTCCTCTATTAGCCACGCAGCTTGGAGACCGCGTCGGCATTTCACTCCATTCCTAATGCTACCGTATTTTTGTAGTTTTATCTGCTTACCGTATGTTCGATAAACCAAAGTGCAGACGTTAGGGTTTTCTTCGGACCATCGAATAGGACGCAGATATTTTCCCTAGACGAAGAAGGGGCAGATATAAGAAAGAAGGACAAAGACAAAAGGTTGTTGGGTAACACATTGAAAATTTTTCGTTTCCTCTTTCTTTTATTTACAAATATACATACAATATACTATTTTTACATTTGTGATCATGCTCGTTTAAGCATAGCATTTTTTGTGCCCTTTTATGCAAATAACGGTAATAATAAAATTTAAATTTTCGCCTGCTAATTGCAGCGTGTTAAAAGTTACTTTCAACCAGCACACATTTACCCGCTCCGCCCGACCGCACACCGACTACAATTCTTTTTCGTCGCTCGCCTAGTCGTTAATCAAAACAAGCGGAGTGAAGCGTTTGGCCGAGCTTGCGTTGGCTGGCTGCCTTGGCTGTTTGAGTGTTTGCGTAATTAATAAAGACTCGTTAGTGCGTTGGAATATTTTGAATTTTTTCGGTTGTACAATTTAACATTTGGTTTTGTTTTGCTTCTTTTTAATATTTATTTCCGTTTTATGAATTTTATTTTCATTTTTGTTTTTAATTCAAAAACTGGTTATTGCCGCTGCTGACTGAGTAAATAATGAAAATTCACGCATGTTCGCTCATTGCCTCGCGCCGGCAACTCGCCACTTCCGTTTGTATAAAGTATACACATACAGTCGTACATACTCAAGCAGGGTGTATTATAGATTGCGCCTTTAGATTTTGGTTGTATTGTACTTTGTGTATACGTCATAATATCAATGCCGCTTTGGTAAAGAGTCCATTCGCACGCACGGAATTATTATATTAAAAGAAAATTAAATTATTAATTAATTAAATTAAGTTACTAAATTAAAAGAAATTTAAGGCGATTGATAAAATTTAAAACGAAATTCAGATGGTTTTTTTTGTTTGTGATTGATCACCTGAATTAAAAGGACAAATAAATTAAATATGTTGAACATAAATAAAAAACAAGTGTTTTAAAATTAATATTATTGTTTATTTTCAAACTAGAATCTATGAGATGGGTCATCTATAAGAGTTTTCATAAAATCTTTGGTAATTAACATAGAATCTGCATTAGTGGACCCAAAAACTACCTGCAGTGGAGTTATCTCTGTATTATTTCTACACTTGGCAGGGTTAACTTTCAAGCGATCGCGCTGGAATCGACCGCAAGAAGTATATTTTCTTTGTTAATTATATCATAAAATTAGTTATTTGCTTTTATATTTGGCGTTTTCTGAATTTAAGTTAAATGCTTTCGATTCATTTGAGTCTAAACACAATGATAATATCTCTAAATACAAAAAATAAACGATTATTAGTTAAATAGTGTTTTATTTCCTTAAAATATCCCATAGGTCCTTTCGATTAAGCGCGACCGCTGCCGTTACAAATTACCGCGAGTCCGCCTGAGGGCTAATCTGCACTCACTGAAATTAGCGTCCACGAAAAATATTGGGTTAACGTAAGGTTTGTCGCATACAATGGTAACTTTATCACGTAGTCTATGAAATGTATGTCCGGATACATTTGCTAGGCTATCATACTTATACCAATTCGTACATCTACTTTCGCTCAGACTCGGCTTCCGTTCAAAAATTTCGCAATATTGTCTTTATGAAAAGAAAAGTAGCTGAATGAGTACAACTCATTAAAATCAGAAATTACGCAAATAGCTGTAAAAGTTGGATGATGAACTGCCAAATCAGGGGTATCATCAACAATTATGTTTCAGATGTCCAAGAATGCAGCTTCTAGTCTATATATTCAACTCCTGCTGATCAGGATTGCACCTTCCTTAACTTCCAGTTTAACTGATTATATATTGTATATTATATATATTTTTTTTTTTTTTGGCGATAGATTTACTGCTGTTTGCACGCTAACTTTTGTATTGACTAGAATTTTTAATCGTTATATTCAGTTTTACAACCAAAAATTGCACACTTAATTTTCACACTTTTGAAGAATTAATCGCGAGTGTGACGAGAGCAAAGCAACAGCTGAGTGTCAAATTTTTTAATAATAAATAACGGTGCCTCCGACGGCGCAATCTTCTACCTACTAAAAATTTATAAGAAAATAATAAATGCTAAGTAAGCAATTTAAGCCGCACTCCTTGAGTAATCCCGCAGCATTTGATTCGCTTTGACGGTGGCGAGAAAGGACGCTTTCGTTCAACTCCAAATGAATTTAAAAGCGTTTTTTTTTTTTGCTAATTAGCGTATTTTCATTCTTTTCAAATATATAAGAAACGCAGTAACTGTTCATAAGCCATGGAAGTTAATCGCAGCGGGTGCCGTGAGGTGTTGTGTTGTTTGGGTACTTGCAGTGTTGCATTGGATACGCTTTAGTCTGAGTCGCCTGAGCAGCTGCATTGCTTTGTTGGTGGTTGGTGGTGCTTGGTGGTGCTTGGTGGCGCTTGGTGGGGCTTGGTGGGGCTTGGTGGTGCGTGGTGGTGCTCGGTGGTGGTGGCGGTGGATTGGTGCGGATTAAAAAATTCGCGGCTTAAAAAATGCTCCGCTGAATGGCCATCGAATGGAGTTTTTCACCTTTTCATTTCTTTAATTTCCGCCATAAAGCTCTTCATTAGCGAAAGGAATACTTAAATATCGCTTTTTAATTATTCCGTATTTCCTTGAAGAATGGCTAAATTAAAAAAATGGTAGCCATTCGCTATTGTTGTTAATGTTATGCTGCATTTTACATTTTGTTTACCCCAACATTTTCATCTCAGCTAATTCGCTGTTAGATGTATTAAGAAAAGAAAGGCAAATCCTTAAGCTCATTAAGATAAAAGAATAGGGAATTTTTGTATTAAAAAAGAAAAATAATAATAAGCTTAACGGAGAGAAACCATTAGTTAAAATTACGTAGCATAAAATGGTGGCTGCAAGGACCTGAGCAGTTTTTAAAGCATTTACGAGGCTTCTGTGGCTGTTAGTAAGGATTCCAGTATCTTATTTGAGTTCAGTAGAGGATTTTGGAGAATGGCTTGGGAATATACAGATATGTCTTCTATGGTAGAGTTTTGGAGATTCTAGGAGCCAGTCCTGTAAGAAATTCTCACAAGAGTGATTTTCCAACAAACATGCCTATTCTTAATGTTACCGGTAAAATAAAATTTTGTTACTTGTTTTAACACCTGAAACGAAATTTGGTATTCTAGCACAGGTTTCATTGTTTGAAAAAACTTGGCACCACTGCTTTTTTCTATATTCGCATCAAAATCGAAAATGGAGCGCAACAAAAAAAAGTTTTATTTATTTGTTTATTAAATCATAAATAATTGAACCTAATCACGTTTCAATACGCCAAAACAAGTTAAATGAAAACGCTTTCTGCCAAATTAAAAGATTACTTTTTACTCGCAAACTCCTTTATATGCTTCTTTTTGCACTTTTGTCTTCATCCTCAATGAATTCTAGACTTAAAATATGCCAATACATTTTGGTTCTCTTCCAATATCGTGGATGACAAAACTTAAAGGGTGACGGTGAATTCAGAATACAATAAAGTAACATAAGTTACTGAATGGTAAACTTTATAACCTCGATAGAATAGGTCTGAAAATGAAAGAACCTACAGCCACTTTCAAACGATTAATTTTTTTTTCAGAGGAGCTAGTCTTAGAAAGAATCACTATTCGCACAGAAGTACACATTGCCTGGATAGCAACAGTACGCCAGTTGTTTAA